CTACAAAGCACACCTGAGCGGTGTGAATGCTCCAGCCCCTCTCACAGACAGGGAAGAGGCACTAAAAGAACTTCAACAAAATGAACATAGTCCCAACTATGGTACTGATTCAAGGTAAAGCAAAATACATTTTAATGTAATAGAAATAAACAGATAACTCTTGAACATTTTAGAGATGTCAAAACTAAAGATTAAAAATAATGTATGTTTTAGAACATAATATGAGTTTCATAGGTTTTTTTTTAATTAAAAATTACAGGCAGTCTACAATGGGTGGGGTTGCATTTCCTATAACACAAGATGCAAAGCAAGGCATTATTGATCTCCAACATGGTTCCTACAATTATTTACAATTTAAAATAGGTAAGATTGTCTATTGATATGGTTGTAGTTTTTAAAATATTAATAACATATGTTGTATTGACAATTTACTTTAAACAAAATCTTCATGTGACACATGAAATCTAAAACTTACTTAATTTACTAATATTATAAATGTGAATGTTGAGATGGATGGATGGATGTTCGAAGGTATCTCCGGAACCATTTAACAGATCTTGATGAAATTTGGCACAGAGGTAGAACATAGTCTGGAAGAACACATAGGCTATTCATTAGGTATTTTTTTAATTCCTCTAGTACATAATATAAAGGCACAAAATAAAATCTATTATTGGCCAGACATATAAATGACTTATTATTCATAATGAATGTGACATGTTTCTTTCCAGATATAGATGAAGAAAAGATTCACCTTGCAAAAGCAAGTGTAATTGAGCAATCAGAGCTGCCTCGGCAAGTGCCGGATGACCAGGCAAGGTACCATCTCTTTGTATTCAAGCACACACATGAAGGCGATTATTTAGAAAGCATGGGTAAGTTGTAATTATTATTGTGTTACTCTTACTGGACTAGATGTTTGTCAATCTCTCACAGTTGTTAATCAGTAATTGGGGGGAAGTTTAGTGTAGATTTTTTACCGAATTTAAAATGGAGGAGGTTTTTAATTTGTTTGTATATTTTTTTGTATTAAATCTATACTCATTTCATACATATAAAGATTTGATTGTAACTCAGGGTCTAACATGTTGTCTCTTTCATTCTCTCTAAAAAAACGGAGATAACGACATATATTTTGCTAGTCTTACTAGTATTATAAATGCCAAAGTGTAGATAAATGGATGGATGTTTGTTAGAACATATCTCTGGAACAGCTCAACTTATCTTGCTGAAATTTGGCACGAATGTTGAACTTAGTCTCGAAGAACACATAGTCTACTTATTAAGTTTTTTTATTCCGCTCGGACTGTGACAGCTAGTATTTTAGAAGATTTTAAAACTTTTATGTGAGGTTTTATTTATATTTTTGTTATATTTCAGTGTTCATCTACTCTATGCCGGGATATAGTTGTAGTATAAAGGAGAGAATGCTGTATTCAAGTTGTATAGGAACATTTTTGGATATAATTGAAAAAATGGGCATAGAGATTGCCAAACGGGTGAGTTCTTTTGAACTTTACTTGAAATAATTTTAAGTTCATTTTTGTATGCTTATTCTCAAAGCAAATATACCATGTCTTTTAGCTGGAAATCGATGATGGCAAAGAATTGACGGAAGAATTTTTATATGATGAAATACATCCAAAGAGAAATCTTCACAGACCTGCCTTCGCTAAACCGAAAGGTCCGCCCAACAGAGGCGCTAAACGAATCACCAAGTCTCAGGCGTCGCAATAGCTTACGAAATGCAAAGAGTACAGTGAGCTTATGCTAAACGTAGGGATGGTCGAACTATCGATAAAACAGTTTTTGTCGAAGTTGTATTTAATTATCGATATTCCAATGTGAACCTATCATTGAAATTGTAAAATAGATTTCAAGAAAGTGCAATATTTTTACCTTTTTAATTGTGTCGATTTATAATAATCGATTTTGAAACAATGAAATATTAATTGATGTCATCAAAAAATTATCAAGTAGGAAGAAGTATTTATTATTTTTTTAATTTTGTGTAATTAATCTGTGACGATAACATTGATGGATAAGGTATCGATACTAAATATTTTTTATATTCGGTCATCCCTATCCGAATAGTATTATTCTTCCAAGTTGCAATATTATTAGTATTATAATTTTTTTTCTTACAAAAAATTTAAAATGATTTATTTTTAGCTTCAAAAGTTTACATTTTACGCAATCGATTGATGATAAAATTTTACTTATAAGTTTTATAAAATTTTCGCTGATTTTTATACAATTTATAACACAATAGTGTGATTATTATTTTTAGAATATTTATACAATTAAAATGCATTGTGAAAGTTTTATTTTTAAATTCAAGTTTCGAAAGTTTCAATACAATTTAAAAAAAAATCTCATTTGATTTGGACTGAAATTGTTCTTTATAATTTAAGACAGTATTTAACCTTAATATAAATGAAATGTCATGTCGGGAAAAAGTAACGGCTTTACCTCGGTATTTTGTACGATTTTCAGATTCTTTAAAAATGAAGAATTGAATGAAACACGTCATCTCGAGTCGAAATTAAAATTGGAAGTTTTTTCCTTTCTTTTTAGAATCACAAAGTAAATTGGAATGTTTTCTCTGGCATATGAGACATTTAATCATAGCTTTACTTGAACTTTGTTTAGTGCTCATTACCTGTGCTTTATACGACTCAATCGAAGATTTTGCCAGCTACAGTTGGGTAGGCTTCCAGATTCTTCGAGATTCGATTTGAAGATTTAATTGTTTTATGTAAGTCTTCCTTGTTATTTCTATCCTCTGTTCATTATCCACTTCTTTCTTTAAGAATTTTAGTAGTTGCCCCAGCTCTGCAGAGGTGTTGTGACTTTACTGCGTTCCCAAGTTATCATCTCATGTGTTAATACACTTTCAACTATTGTTAACTGCAAATTTGTCCTTTTTCACACCTAGCCTTGGTGTCCAAAGAGTTTTTATAAATCCGCTTTACGATTTTTAAACGAGATTTTTAAATTTCACAGGATAAAATGAATTTACTACCATTATGGTCAAGTCATTATTCATTCAAAATAGTATATAATGTAGAATTATGAAAGTCATAATATAATAGTAAATAATGCATTATGTTATAAGTATATCTTTCGAGAAAATTGTGTGTGATGTAAGTTTTTCCAGTAGTTTCTGATTTCAAATTAACCAATATATTAATTACTAAGTTTAAAATTCAAAATTTGAATTCTGCTCTATGATATAGCCTTCCCTGATATACAGCTTGTTTAGTTTTTAATGCCACGAGATAAATTAAGGAAGATAAATTTTTTTTTTTTTTATATGATTTTTTTTAATTATCTATGACGTTGATAAAAGGATGTTAAAAACATATTTGTTGTATTGTCACCAATCTGCCGTATTCCACAAATTTGCGATTGTTAAATATATTTTGCAAAGGTTACCAAAAATTACAGAATTATAAAAGTTACAGTAACTATAAGAATAAAAAATAACTATATAAAGTATTATAAATGAAATTAATCACTTGTTTAGAAATCACTTCTTACATTTGTATTGCTGCTGTTTTATTAAAAAGATGATTTTACATGTAAAAATGTTTTTGATTTTAAAAATGATTGTATAGACAGTTAAAAAATGTAGAATCTACGTTTTGCTCTCTTATGTTACTAAAAGAAAGATATCCTTTAATAAGTTTTTATTTATAATTCATAGTTTAGTCTACTTTCCTGTAGATTTTATAACTTTTAGATTTGACTGTAAGTGTTTATAAGACTCAGATAAATTTATAAAAACTGCAATTCATTGGATGCCGAATTTACTGCAGAGTTTTTTTTTTAATTTTTATTGTAATACAATCAAGTAAATTTGAATTTATAATCTATAAAAATAAGCCATTAATATTATAGTCTTTGAACCTTTTTGAATTGTTTTAAGGTCAATCCAAAGTAACGAACATTTTCCAAATAAGATATGACCTAATGGTCTATGTTACCAGGCCATAAAATTAAAAAAAAAATGTTTAAGGTCAGTATCAAAATTGTATATTTTGTGCATAATTACGTACCCAATTTTTTTTTATCGATGTATCTTTAGTAATTTGAGATATCTGTAAATCGTGTCCCTATAATATTAAAAAAGCCTTTCCATCCCAATTGCTCTGAATAACAAATTTGTAATCTGTGCTGTATATTTTTCTATAAAAAAAACAATGAAATATTTTAATGTATGTTAGTACATAGACATGAACTATTTTATTCCTATATTTGGGTTTAGTTTGCTCAAGTTAATTGTGGCTTTCTGTCGAAACACCAGAAAAACATCGACCCATCAGAAAAAAAAAATTACATCACTTGTAAACTTTTTCGCCAAAAGAATTACCTTATACAAAGATCCCACACAGATATAACTCTTTTAGCGAAAATATCTACATTCAACATCCCGTTATTGATGTAACTCTTTTTATCTAGTTGGTCGATGTTATCCAATTTGTTCAAAGGAACTGAGAGGGATAATATATTTTACTTTTGTAGAGATATCTCTGGGAAGCCCAAGGTTAATAAATTGGCATGCAAATGGAATGTTCCAGTCGTATCTTGCCATTAGATTACAGACTATCTCCTATTGTGTCAATAATGTTTGTATTATCTAGAAAAATCTTTATTGTGTAATTAGGCTGCATGTTAAAATTCTTATTTCAATTTTATTGCGTCTTGTTCAAAATTTTGTGCACAAGAAATTTTATAGATACTATTTTTATATGTAACTTTAGTATTGTCTGATGTGTTGTAACAATTTTATTGTCAATAAAGCGCTTTTAATATATTTCTGTATTTTAAATTATTGTAAAACTCGGGCGACGTAATATTTTATTAACAGTGTGTTTCTGAAACTAAAATCTCTATTTAAAACATTGTTACCGCTGTTTTGTCAAAGATAAAGGTCTCAGAAATTCACGGTTAGTCGTATAGAATCGTAAACTCGGGAATAATAAATAAAGACTCGATAACATTAATAGTATTTATCAATATTTACAAAATGTAACAAACTAAGTTCTAGCACTTAACCTTGAAAAGATATCTAAATTATGAAATTTCTTCAATTTTCGTCTCTCCCTTTTCAGTGATCAATTTATCATGATGTCTCGTCAGATTGTCGTGTTTTTCTGTAGCTGACTTCTCCAACACCTGGTTGTATTGCTCTTCTCTGTAATTAAGACGATAGTGATTAAATAAAGAAAAAATTGAAGAGAAGATATAAAACATTTTTAAAATTATTTTTAATGTCCGTAGATAAGAAATTTGTGAAGAAACACTGCAAACATGCACAAAGAATCTCATGTATTTCTTTACTGGATTATTTGGTTTTTCCAAATAGCCATACTTGCTGCTTGATCCTCTAATAAATAAAGTGGCTCTAAATTACTACATATCAAACATAAATCTGTGTCTTACACACTAGAAAATGTTAGCAAATCTATATATAAAAGAAAGTTGTGTTAGTTACACTATTTATAACCCAAGAACGGCTTTACCGATATGGCTGAAAATTGGTGAGGAGGTAGCTTAGAGCCAGGAGACGGACATAGGATACTTTTTTTTTCGAATTTATGCCTTGAAGACCCGCTTTTTATTTAACTTACTAAATTATACATGCAAATGTTTAGATGGATGGATGGGTGGGCAACTCTTATTAAGTTTTTAACATATCCACACGGACGGAGTCGCGGGCGACAGCTAGTGTAACATAAACAAATATGTCTTAAGTAATTATATTACAGAATACACACAAACCTTGCTAATTTGATTTTGTACAATACTCTTCTTAAATCGTCCATAGATACTCCGGTTATTTTAAGAATATTCAAAATTAGAAGCCCACCGAAAGCACTTAAAACGCCACCTGGAATAGATATTTTGGACACAAATTAAAATAATCTAATACGTTAATTTGACTAAAAAAACTTTTACGACTGTAATCATAGGACACTCCGGGGAAAAATATGAATTAAGTTCAATTTTTCAGGACACAGATGGCACAAGAAACATCAATAACATTACCCTATTGAGTACTTCAGTTATGTCAAAAAAGCATGACTACATTTTACAATAGAAAACTAAACCAAATTTACATGTTACAGTATCAAAATCCATACCAAGTGTAGCACCAACAATAGTAGCAGCAACTCCTAAGTTTGCTTTATATACTCCTCCAGTAAGTGCACCTGCCATGATGTAGTCAATTAATGAAGACTCTCCGCGATACACTGCTATCATGGTGGTAAATAAACTGGAAAAATTCAAGTACATATGTATAACCTTTATACCTATGTAAAGGAGTTATCTTTAGAGATTCTATATAAGATGTAACTGTTTTCTTTACATGGTATGATATATACTTTCCCGTTTCATCATATGCAATTTTTTGGAATGTCATTTATTTTGGAGTTCACTCACAAAGGCAATGCAAGGAAAAAACATAACATGAAAAGATTAGTTAACATTCAAACTTACCTAAAGCATCCAGTAAATAAACCCAATCTCCAGCCCCAGTGGACTGCGCCTTTTGCAAATCCTATGGTCACATAATCTTGTAATTGTTTCTAGAATATAAATGATAGATTAGTTGTGAGGTCAAATTATTTGAAACAACTTGAGATCTGTTGCATCCTACTTATGATAAAATTAATTCATTTTGATTGTTATAAACAAAGTCATACACACAAAATCATAATGTAATTTCTCATATTTTGTGTGTGTGAATTTGTCAACTGCAGATCTATCTGACTGCTTCTTACCTTTGCTTGCATTGTAGATGTAAAAGCAGTTGCTTGATTTCTTTCAATAAACTTAACATAAGCTTCCCTTGATTGCAAAAAACCTCCGAAGCAAGCACCAATAAATGCTCCAGACATTGTTGCTTGTACAACATTATGAAGTTCAACTGACACTTCACCAAATTCACTGTAATAGTGAAATCAGTAAAATTTCTACATTTATAATCTTTACGGCCTCACCACAACAAATTTCAACATGAGTTTTTCCCATAAAATCAACGAGCAGTTACCTGCAACTTCTTATGTGCAAAATTAAAAAAAAATCTAGTAAAAAATATAACCTATGCCCGGAAACAGCGGAATAATTTAGCTAAAATAGAAAAAGAATATATCAGATCGATAGTTTTGGAGCTTATTCAAAGCAAACAAATTAACATATATCCAATTTATTATAAATATAATTAATATTAGAACCTTATTTCTGCAATTATTACTTGGCTTTAACACATTGTGTTGTTTAAAACTGGTAGTGCTGGCTAAGAGTACAGTATATAGAATTCATCAAACTATACAGACAAGGTATTTACCAGTCTTACTTACTCTCTTTGAAACATTTTCTTAACTCTTTCTAGGCCGGTTTTGGTGGTATGCGGTTCAGGTGTATGGAGTTTATCACAATCATTTACGTTTCGCTTTTCGAAAAAGGGAAAAGCAAACGTCGGTGTCAATCGTATCGCTGTTCTTATCATCTTGTAGAATTATAGCTGAATCCAAGTTGTTATTGTTGTCTCATGATTAAAGATATTTACTTCCAACAGCGGCAAGCTATTACGAAACTCAAAATTCTAATTACCACACGTAATTCGCAATAATATAGCATTTGGCGTAGGGACAGCCAGAGTATATAAAATGACAGCACTGACGGCTCACCGTGACATTAGCAGCTGACACTGACAGTTACATTGACAAGTGATATTTTCAAATTCCCATAAACATTGGTGCCGTGGAGCCAGAAATCTATCGACATTTTAAATCTAAGCAAATTCCCAAAAATAAAATAATTTTTATATCCCGAACTTAATTACTCTGATCTCCTGATCTCTGAATTGATCCGTGGGGAATTAGGAAAAAATGTAGTATATCTTTAAAAAAAGTAGCATATAACACCAGGGGATAGCTTCTACTAGTGAAAGAATTTTTCAAACCTATTCAGTAGGTTCTGGGTCTATTCAATGCAAACAAACAATCAAATATTTCATCTCTATAATATACTAAATAGATGAGATCGTAAAATTGTTGATTTTATATTTTTATTACTACCATCGAGAAAAGGCAAGACAAACAAACGTTGAACCGTTGAAGACAAGTGCGTAACAATTGCATTTCCACTATTTTTTTTTTTGTATTTAGTGGTATGATGAAATTTGGCATTGGTTTGCTATATTGTATTAACGTTCATAGGCCAAGCATCCAATTATTATGATAGAAGCAGTAGAAATAAGGTGTTTGGGGATGGCAGGATTTAATTAAACTACAAATTATTTCAACTATATTTTATTATAAAATGACAAAGAATAAATCTAGAGTTTAGTAGTGTAGTCACTTAGATGTTAAAATTGTGTATATATTTATAATTCACATAACTGCTTGTAATATAGATAGTGCGCTTCTCGGCCTTAAGTAAGGACCCGTCAGCGGTTAGAAAAATCAAGTTTTACTAAAGAATCCACAAAATACATTCTTTTGGAATATAATATATAAAGGCTCGTTAAAGCTTGCTATTATGATAGTATCTGATTTAGATTAGAGAAAACAAACATATAATTAGATCCCTGTTATTTTGTCCCAATAATTGGTCTTTGGCATAATGAATCAATAACGCTAAATTATTAATAATTAAATAAAACCATCGTTCTAGAGCCAAACATTACGGAAACGATAAAACAATGCGACCGCTGCGAGAGCGACTGTTTAAATCTATTAGACTATTTTAACTTTACACACAACCCTTTAATTTGCACACCTTTGTTTTATCAAACGAATCAAAACGTCACTAAACTCACGAAGGAACAGGTGGGCAATTACAATAATACTAAGAAGTTCTTAACACGGAGGCAGGTATTCATTATTCACTAGAGCGACTACCGAAATCAGAATAGGATATTTTTATCTAAGTCTTAATTTAATGATTATGTTAATCTGTAATACATCCTATTAATTTAATTTGTAATTATTTATATAGTGTATAATATTTACATCGGTAGATAATTTCAACGAGACGATAACTGCCATTTTAATAGGTTTAATATATTTGTAATGATTATATTAATTTAGAAATATAGAGAGCACTTATAATAGTTATCTACTGTCATCGCGATGAGCGAATGATACTACTGTAGGATTTAGTCCTATTAATTGGCAGTTATACATTTTCCTTTGACTAAGATAATGTTTCAATAATGGAATGGTTCAGTTCTTTCAACGCATCAGGAATAAGGGACGTGGCACGGACATAAATCACCGCCCCGGCCGCCAGTTGCCAGGGTGAGCGATAAAATTTATTCACATTATACCCTGTGCGAAATATATTCCACTTGATAATATTTATAACATATCATTGGCAATATTTTAAGTCCCTTACCCCATTCACAATTCAACTAAATAACCTGTAATTTGCCTAAATTCACGCTAACACCAAGCGGGCTTTAGGATAAAGGTGAGAAATGAAGGTGAATAATTTTATAGGCATTCAAATATTTTATAGGTAGGTACATAATAAATTTAAATACAGATAAAAAATATTACTGTCAGGATAGTTTAGATCTAAATAGGTACGAATATGTCTAGAGTAGCGGTCGTAATACCGTACATTTCTTTATATTGATCCCCATTGAAATTTATAACTTTATTTACAAATAGTGTACCTCGTAGACTGATCAAACATTTTGCTACGCGACATCCGAGAGTGAGGCGACAACCTAGAAATGTACACATGGAGAAAAACTGGCACTTGTATAAATAAGATGTTTGAGTATTTTATAATAAGTTAATTACATAATATCAGTTCTCTTAAAGGAGCAAAGAAGGACAAGGAGGAAAAAATAAAGAAAAACAAAAGTTATCAATGATAAAAATAGTTTAATTATGAAACTAAAATAAGAAAGAAATTAACCACACAAAAGGCTTAATACTAAAATAAGAAAATAAAGACGACAATGTAAATTAAGTTAAAACATATTAAATATACGAAAAAGTTTAATGAAATAAAAATTAGAGAGAAAAAGGGGTATTCGAATGGAATAGTCATTACACACATGTGCCTTGGCCAAATATCTAGATCAGATATGTCGGCTTCTAATACATATATCGTACAGCTAATACAATAGGAGATATATTAAGATGCGCAATTATAATAAACGATGTTTGTGATATGGAGAGATATGTTTGAGGATACACGAAGAACGAATGCACAAAGACAAACAAAAACAATAGGTAGATATGAGGAGCTGAAAACCCTCGCACAATCTCAACGTATAACTTTAACGAACAAATTTAAAACAATGTTCACTTACGATCAATTAAATTGCATATATTGCGCTTAATAAAACTCTCAAATATAATTTAACTGTAACATTTTTTATCAACTTTTCAATAAATGTTAAGATTACATCGATTAAGTTACCTAAAATAATGTGTATTGACTTTTAATTTGGCATCTCATTCTAAACACTGATTTTAATTTTATATTTTATAACTTTATCGTATTATACCTAAATATTTAAAAATACTTCTCTAAACACATAAATCCCTAGAATTATCTATAAGTCAATACCAGTGTTATTGAGAAAAGTTAGGCCACAAAACGCTACACACAAATTTCACGCACTCTCCCTATTGAATCCGGAATCCGGAAAACCGTACAACTCATCCGGAAAACATTGGATAATTGTCAAGATTCTCACTCTATTGAAATGAAAAATCATTTCACAATCACAACATTAAGGGAAGATTATCAATGAGCTTTTAAGATCCGCAATGTATTTACGCTTGAGTTGGCACGTCGGGCAGAAGACTACTCTTGTTCCGTGCGTGCCAAATTAAGTGCCGGGTTAACTTCGAAGTTGAGTGGTAGTTTTGTGACTTTATAATATCGGAAAAGGACACAATGACAATTCAATTTCAGTAATTATTACTATTAATAAAATTACAATATCTATTTAACTAATATTTTACTTCATTAAATAATTACCGCTAACTTATTTAGTTAACAATGTATAATATTGAATTGGCCAACAACGTTTCCTGATCGACAAACTATGATCTATAATTAGTTTATAGATGATCATAGACAATATCGATGCCTTTACATTGCTCATTACAATCAACACTGCATTTTATAAGGTAAATTTAACTATACATTTAATCCGAAAGATATGGATTTATTAATTCATTTGAATAAATATAATAATAAAGAATGCAGTGATGTGTGTAGCGTTCCACGCTGAAGATATTCGATATGTAATCTCCTTTTTTGTGATTTAGTTTCATAATATAATAATTAAATTACAAATGCGAATTTCTCACTCGAGAAACAGACCATCACCGACCGCACTTCACTTCCCGTATCATTTCAAAACGCAGGCACAGAGGTGACTGTACCCCCATAGAAAAACATTTTCAAAAACGTGCAAAATATCACCACACCCTGGTCACCTAACATTATATAAACCGAGTTACTACATACACGTTCTTATCGTAGATACATACGAGTAGGTACTGAATTATACAGTTTGTATCGAATTCCTCTAATAAACCTTACAATTTAATGTCAATCTATTTTTTTTTTACTTTTAAATGTCTTACTAAGCTCTATTTTTATATCTTAAATCGCAATGTATACGATACATTCTATAATAGTGTAAATATGTAATTTTTTACCGACTGCTATTTTTATTAGAGAAAATGAGTTGTGACATCGATTTTTGTATCGATCAATTGTAACGTTGTGGCCCAAGAGTCACTAACTGGCAGAAGTCCTCAAATCTTTTTAATCTGTATCACTGAACTGTCACTTCATGTCAGTTGCACGAAGACGACTCCCTCACACCTCACACGAATCAATGTTAACAACATAAACAACAAACAATCCGCTATATATTTGAATAACTACAGCTTGTGACATCGAAGATATGTAATTCTTTGCAGTCCAAGTATCAACTAACTTTGACAGCCGCACGTTGCTTCGTAAAATTTAGGAAACGTTTTCAATAATTTGTCATAATTCAGGTATCTGTTTCACGCATGCTTTGCCTAATCACATAATCTGGACGTGTAACTGAACACTTAAAACTGGTCCTAAGTTAATAGCATAGGCTTCGCTGGGCACCATCCTATGTCGAAAAAACTATTATAATAAATTAAAAGTTTTGAAGCTTATTGGAGAGAAATTTAAAAGGATATTTCATCGACAATATAAACGATTCTACTTAATTCACAAACTTAATCTCTTTTGCATTGGACTAGACGCATTTTACAAATAATTTAAGAAGGCAAAGATGTGTGAAAACCAATTCATTTGAAAAGGGAAAGTCCGGGAATAATGAGTACTCGCCGTAGCGAGGGTTAGGTATATACAAAGTGCAAAGGGAGAGCTATAAAACTAAAATACTGATTCCTTAACGAAATAACTGTCAGAGAACGAATACTGACTGAGCGTTGCCGCCGGCGGGCGCAGTGGCGCGGGGACGCTGTCATCGCGGTGCGGCCACACCACCACATTACAAAGAATATAATTCTAAAAAATACGTTATAGCGCGCTCGGCCACACCGCACGTACGAAATCGGAACTCCCTAACGGGTATAAATAAATATTTATCTATGAATAATTGCTTAGTGAAATGTACGCACGAGCATTTATAGTATGTTGCAGCTACCATTAATATAAAAATTAACATCAAAATAAATGCATCATGTCACTATTATGTCACTAAACATAACATTTATATATATCGTGATATATTCACTAGACGCTAGCCGTAGGAGTTATGATTACGCTAACTAACAGAGAAGACTATCGGAACAATGAACAGATAGAAAACGTAACAGATATGGAAGGGAGAGATACAGATAATATATGATCTATGTCTAACATAATCTATTTAAATGTTGCTACAACTAATATTGCACACACATACACATTTCTAAAGCATTTCAGTATTATAATTATATAAAAGAAAAATGTGTATGCGTACAAAACCATATTTAATAGAAATGCAATAATAGTAAATTGTGCATATTAAAATAGAGCATAAAATATATTTATAAAATATAATCTTATATCGATAACTGCAAATTATATGTGACAAAGTAAATATGTTTTTAACTAGTGATAAATATGTTAAAATATTCAGACGGCACAATTGCCTGAAATGATAACCGTAAACAGACAATGTCTCACATTGCATAGCACTGGGTAATGCCAAATGTAAATAATTCTAGCGCAATCTAATTGCAAACAATCCAAGTTCACCGACAGACACTGATAATGTTAAATCAACGGAAACATCCGATATAATTATGGAAACAACATAAGATATGAATATCACACAAAATAGAAATCCTCTCCGCATATGAGTGACAATCCATGATAAGGAAACCTATCCAGGTCCTTGGATCGCATCGTGAAGTGAAATGTCCCTTAACATAACATGTACAGTTATAGTAAGTTGTACATTTACACTAAGGAAATAGTAGCACTTAACTTCTAGACTGTTCCGAGTAAGCGTAATATAGATTATATTTAAAAATTTCAGTCGAGCATTATTCTCGATTTGAGTGAGAGGTACTATATCGTAATCGACAGTCGCAGCGTCACTCGACGCGCGTTCAATATCAATACAGCTAAGGAAATCGATTTTATAATCGCGATACAACTGTCAATACAGGGACGCGACTGGCAACACCGGCCGCTGTCAACGATCTAAACGAAACAATCGATTTAGAATAAATATAACATTTTATTTGAGCCCAAATTCTGATATTGACTCAATAAAATATGAATCGAATTTTTAACAGATTATAAATCGTTGACAATGGCCGAGGTAAATAATTGTGTGATATTCCGATGTCGGCGGCAAATGTAGTTTAGATACTGGATTTGGAGAAGGAGACCCGGAGGTGGTTGGACTCGGAGAGCTGGTAGTTGTGCATCTTGATGAGCGCCGCTACTGCGTCGTCAATTGACATCAGCTGCACCAGCGCCATCTTGCGGTCCTTACTATAACATACAAAACATGCTTCATTACCAAATTGGCACGACACTACATAGGTCATTCAACGAATAATTACATATTTTTTTTTTTTGAAAATAATACTGTTTAACAACGGACCATCATTGTTTTACACTTTAGTAAATTATTTTTTATTACAAATAATGTAATTCGTACTGAAAATAAAAAAAAAAATAATAGACCTCAACTTCATGACGGAATATAATTAAGAGACTTATCGCTGAGTTATGATTTAAAATATCACATTTACTACATCAATCTTTTAAATAACCTAAGCTCCAGCAAAGAGTGTGATAAACCGACAACGTCAGTTGAAATAAAATACTTACGGGAAGAACTTGAACGCTTTGATCGTGAAGCCGCGCTTGGTGAACGCCTCCTTAATATCTTCCTCGGAGACGGTCGCTCTGTGGACATAAGTACACGTCATGAGTCCATTCTGGTCACGTAATGGCACGTCCAAGTGAATGATTACTTACGGAATGTTGGAGAGGTGCAGGGTGGCGCTCGGCGGGTAGATGTTCTGGTAGTTTTTGCTGCCAGGCTTCTTGAATCTATGCAGCGGGCTCTGCGAGTAGTCTCTGGAAATTGACACGTGCAAAATATTAAATCAATTAAATCACATCAAAAAGTGTCACAAAAATTACGCAGACGTGAAGAGAAAGTATTAACAATATTTCGTCTGATGGGTTAATTGGATATCATGGATTCATCACTTTCCACGCTATTACACAAATGATAATTCGTAAGTACCCGTACCCTGCTGTTCTCTTACGGTAGTGGTAGTCATTTAAGCTTTTTTTCATTGACTGGGATATAATTGACGTACCTGGTGAGTCCGGCGTCTGGCTGACCTTCCTTGGGCAGCTGCACCGTCTGGTGCTTGCTGAGCATTACGCGCATCGCCTTACCGAACACGCGCAGCTTGTCCATGTGCGTCATCGCTGTCAATTCAAAACACATTTCAATGATAAACAATATCATGATATTCAAGTTTCAATGTAATTAACAGTCAGAAAATCCGTAGTGTATTTCCAATTGTGATGCAAGATCTTAAAGAGCAACTTTGATGCCTTAGTACAAAATGGTCTTCCTTCAATTGATGATAAAACCATATTAAATTATTATTAATAAAAAGACGAAATATCTTTCTCATCCTTTTATGATAACTTTAAAGTATCTGACTAAATAATGGTTCTTTATCTATCTCATTATTTTTACAAATATTTTCTTATCAAACGTAAAAAAAAGTTACAACCATACAGAGCAAAAACAGACATATTTTGTCCGTTGGTTGCGGGAAAGCTTCGCGACATAAATAATTATTCTGTAGCGAACTAATGATGACGATTTAAACCCGAGACTCGTATATTAAGGCCGTTATAAACTTAACGACATTACACCCTAAATTGCTCATCATTTTACTGTTATATTTCTAAACGTACAAAAATTTGATAAGTATTTTAATGAATTTCCCACATTATTTAACATCTAATACAAATAAATGATATGATATCACTTTTGACCATTAAGCTCATGGACCAAGTTGAGGAAATTACTCGACGTATCATTTACCAAAGTTATAAATTGTAGCACACTATTATTTTGTATTTTTGTATCAAAAGTGAAATATATATTTTCATTATTCACATGCATTATTCAGATTTACTACTTGACACAAAACATAATGCAGGCGGCTAGAGAAAGACATGTCGCTCATAATTCTAAACGAAAAACATACCTTTTATTATGTATCTTGTAATATGAACCTTATGTAAATGTAATAAAGTCGACAATAATACATACCCAAATGAGCTTGATGCGGTTCCGCCATTTGAATTAGAGCTGAATCTTTTTTGTTGTAGAGTATCTTCACTCGCTGCACATCGCCGTATACGCCTACATATAAAAATATACGTCAGAAACTAAGCAACGCTTTCATACTATTGGATACTTAGTTCGGGAGAGACGGTGAACCTCGGTTGTGCATTTTATATACTGAATGTACGTTATAATTAAATTTAAACAAACATTTGCCACAAAATATTGTTCTCATTACACGAAATGGACTACCGAAGCGAAATGTTTGCAAACTCGAGACCTACTTAGGTTATTGAGATTGTATTAAGCACACAACTTCACATTAATTATGTATTTCTCATTGTTTGATTAAATACATAACTTGTGAAGTGGAATAGATTGAAAATGAATACAAGAAGAAAACAATTTCAAGTTCTAATCTGGTCACGTGTAAGCTTTCGATTAATACTGTAAAGTTTAACAGCGGAAGGCCTCGTTCCGGCCGAAAATGTTAAGCGGAATTTCTACATAACGAGAACAACTTCTTTCTTCTACGGTGTGAATGTGCCAATTAGTATAGTTATCACATCATTCATTATATATCTTCTCTCATTTCTACGTTCCCAAAGTACATAATCATAAAGTCTACGTTCTATAACTAAGGGACGCTGTCAAAACTATCCATTACATCAGGCTTATGTGTCGTAAAGTGTCTAAAGGACAAGATAATTTTATCGTAAATACATGGCGTATCACTGGCATCTAAATAAAAACATACAGATCATTGGGTAGAGTCTTACTTATCTAAAACTAACGCGTCTGAAACACAAATTGTCAAACGAGTTAATAAAGCATTTATAGTAATAGTGTTAACAAGCAAAGCTTCGATCGTAAAGTAATCGGATGCGGTTATCAGTACAGAAGTGAAGAATGTTAGCTGACAATTTGTCTTCCAGGCGACAAGAGCTCGGGAGCAATATTAATGTTTTAATATAAAATACGGAATGTATGTGCACACGTACCGAAAAGGGTAAAGAGAGCGTCAGGCGTGACCATCTAAAACAATAGGAGAGAGAAAGAGATAGTATTATAAATAGTCGTAAAAGATATCTGACATCATATCTATAAATAAATTAGCAACTTATTTTATCAAGGAGTTCGAGTAGAATATATAAGTGCAACAGCCAGTAACGTTCTGTATTAGTTGGCATCAATTAGTTCGTGTCGGCTCAATGGAAATCCCAAATTAAATGTGTACACGTTACCGGCTATTGTGTTAGAGTTATGATTAACTTTATAAACAATGTAGGTACAAAAATCACTAATACGATACACTTTTCTCAACTTTATGTTATCACTATCCAATGTTGAGGGAAGTTTTAAACAAAATCATATTTGAGTTGCGTCAATCATCATATTTGGAATTGACGTGCTAATGTATCGATCGGGTGTTCGCTACCGAATTGTATTATGGTCCCTGGTGGTTAAAATTTGATTGACGGGCGAGAATAAAACATGTATTGATACTCGTACCTCTTCGTTGAGGTTAGAAACGAGGAGAACCGTGGCCAGGGGCATTGGTGGGGCAGCGAGAGCGCGCAGAGCAGGTGATGCCGGGGTCAGAGTGAGTGCTCCGAATGCCGGCAGGCCCACTCCACCCACGCCTACACCGTACGGTGACGCCAAACCGGATCCCAATCCCAAAAACGGCGGAGCTAAAACACCACCACCTGAAACAGAATTTGTAATATTAAAGCGCGACCTAAATGTATTTGTTAATCACATCGCTGAAACTAAAGCCCGCATGACACAAAAACACTCAGCCCGTTGTAGATTATGTTTTGCTCGACATCTAAAATATTAAAGCGGTATCACGTAATGCGAGCAACAAATAGGCATTGTCGGAATAATCCTCATATAATACAATCCTCTACGGCGCAGTAAGGATTTATGAAAAGTTATTAGTCACTGCGGAAACATTTAAAATTGATTATGAATAATAAACAAGAAAAGAGACGACGCGAAGTTACAAACCAGACACATAGTTCAAAATAATTTCTCTTGTGTGATTTTATGTTGGAGATTTATTTTACTACGTACCTTAACGGGTTCAGCTCTTGGTTTTAATATCAACTTGCGTAGGTTATAAAAGTGCAATAAAAAGATATATAAAACTCAATTACCTTACAATAAAAATGGAAATAATATTAGGAAAATATTATGAAAATATGTTTATATGAGAATCAATAGTAGGATTCTTCAATGATATATAATTGAAGTATTACAATGTCAATGATAATGATTGAACAATAATGATTTCAGAAATACAAGACCTTACAGAGGTTTAAAAGAAAATGAATAAACATTAAACTTGACGGGAGCAAGTAAACAAAGAGATGAACAAGAAATTAAATAAGCTCCTTATTTTGAAAAAAGGTAATAATTTCTACATTATCATAAAATAAAAGAGGGAACAATATAAACCTTGGAAGCGAATCCCTACAAAAGAGTTTATTAATTAACGGAAAAATCCAAAGATTTAAAATAAAATATCGAGCCCAACATTTTTTACAGTATAATGTAATCTAAGATTGTTAATAGAAGCTTTCAGGTGCCGAGATTAATTCATTAGATTTTAAGGTGATTTATAAAAAAAAAATTGAATACAATAGATAATCCAACAATCCCATAACATAGTACCTTATATGGTACCAAACAAGTAAAGATTACCAGAAGATTTTAATGAGAAATTTCAAGCTAATAGGAGTGTAAAGGAAACTTAGATCGGTGTCAAAAGGTTCCAGGCATGGGCATTAGTTGGACTAACTCATCCTGGATGCGAGGGCCAGTGCGAGGCGGGCCCGCTGTGGCGTCAACTCACTGGTCAACAACTGGTGCGCGTCGCCATCGCCGGACGGCAGTGTGGGGTTGGTGTAGTCCCGAGACTTGTCGTTGTTGTATTTTACGTTAAGACAAGTCATCTTTGAGTAGTCGATGCGGAGAGTGCAGCAGCCGTTGTAGATGTTCTGCCCGTCCAGTGCCTGTGAAAGGATAAGATTTTTGATGAAAACAAACAACATAATCACTATTTCTTTGCGTTTTATTTTTCATGAGTCAATCAGCCATCAAGTTTTTGGATGATGATGAAGATGACGATACATAATTTTATGAAGGTAACGGTATCAAGAAGATTAATAGTCGATTAGTGAACAGTAAAGAAAAAAATACACAGGACGGTATGAAAATTGTCGCACATCAGCTATGTGTTTGTCCACAACGCCTGCGGGAGGCAGATAACACCACATCGCGATAGAAAAGAGAATTAATTAAAATGCAACAGCACTCAACCCAGTCCTACGAGCTTTATGCTATTCGTTCACAGGCTCCAAAAGCATACGATTTTTTATAATGAATGTAGCATAGGTGAGGTCGCTTTTTGTACTCGAAAACATGCAACCTTTAAATGAATTACGTTTTACAAGTTATGTATGAAATAACATCATAAATTAATATATCAAAATCAGTTTGCCATATTTAAGAATGAGTGTCACCGTTTTCATAACATAAATTAAGTAATCTAACGGAATGATTTGCCCGAAAACGACGCTCGAGTGCCAAAGTTTCAATTCCGAATATTCCGTCAATTAATTAACGCAGTTTAGACGTGGGTTAATTGCGCTTTTGACAATTCAATATACAGCTTCCATAATTCATATTTTATTCAACAATTTTTAATTTACATTTTAATAGACTTTCACAACTAAGTTTGACATGCGATTATAAAGTATTGTGTTTTATTGGGGATCTAATCTTCTATATGACAAGATATTCAAATGAAAAAGATATTGTTGTTCAAATTATGTATTGGAGTATAACATAAAACTCTAAACAGTCGTCAGTAGTCATGTGAAACTCTCACAGCGTTATAAAGATCCGAAAATAAGTGATATTCAAAAAGAAACACACCAAAAACGCTATCGATCAACTGTTTTTTGCAATACTATAAAATTTTCCGAGCCGTAGAGAATAAGTAAAAGTTGAATGTCTAAAAGCTGGATATTGGCTGTAGATTTAATAAATTTCTGCTCTATATGCAAATGCGAACCCCTGATGTGTAGACGTGAATAGATTGGCCCGTTTATAGCTCAACTTATATGGAAATACGAAAAGCACGTAAGAAAGCGTGGATGAAGATCGCTCCGATACGTAATTAGTTTTGTAGGCTCGCGTTCAAATCGATTCGCTGACTGCAGGCGAAAAGCATGGCGAAGTAATCGGTAATTAATTTACAATTCTAATATATTTTGCTCCGATCAAAGGATCTTCAGAAAGTCAACCAACCCGCACTGGGCCAGCGCGGTTGACTATGGTCTAGTCACCCTAACTTACGCTCCAAGCCCTTCGGTGGTGACGTATAATGAGCTAATGCTGAGGAAAGGATTTTAAATGTGCATTTAAGAATTCAAATGGGTGCATAATTTAAAGACTACCTAAACGATAATTTGATTTTATGAAAACAAAAAGAAATTGCAGATTAAAACTGCTTGATTCAGAGCAGGGTTAGCTTTTTTAAAGTAAAGAAATGTCATTCTTTTACTCCTTAGTCGCTTAATTTATGTATGGGTACTTAACTAACTTACTTCTTTCTCTTATAACAAGTTATTGACTGGCGCTAACTTTATTATAGTGTGAATGACGTCTCTAACGTAACATTTATTAAGGCTCCGTAATAAGTCTAAGATAACTGAAGCATTTATTAATTAGTCTACTAAGGGGTGAGCTGATTTACAATACACAGGCGACTAATAGCGATTAATTGCGATTTAATATTCTCGGGATAGTAGTTTAATTATCCAATATTTGTTTAGTTTGGTGCTTAATTATTATCTAAAAGTATGAGTTTGAGAAATTATGCGATAAATTTAATTTATTTTTCAAAAGATATATGACGAAAAAATTCAAATTAAAGCGTAGTTCACTTCCCAATTACTCGTATTATTTTGTTGAAAGTAATGCCTTCTTATGAGTTGTTATTTATCGTTGGTTCGTTGTTAGTTGGTTGGATTGTATATAAATATTATTAATATAATATTCATACAATAAGCTCGCATAATATTACACAGATTTAGATATTCAAACAAACAATGATATGTATAAATTCTATGAAGAAGAACAATGTATAAACAAAAGGTATAAATAATGCTCGTTTCGTTCCAACCATTAACTAATGAGCTCCAAATTCCGCCTCGGGAAATCGGGGAATGGAATAAATAAGAGTTAACTAAAATCACGGCAAAGTGGCCGTCAAAGGAGCAAGACAGAGTCATCGTAAGACGTAACAAGTGTCCTCCGTATCTCTTAATCACGTCCCCGGTAATTGTTTTATCTTTAGCTCGTTAGAACTCGTTTAAGCAAAGCCTTCTTAGTGAAGGATTAAGTGCGGTCCGCCTTAATCCACCCCCTGTTGCTAATTCTGGCGGTTTTTCCACGAAGACCAGATAAACGTTTTTGTTGCGGGTCCCAAGTTCGCAACGTTTAATATTTATAAGAGGGCACAAGCACATAGCTCACAGCGCAGTGCTTCTGTTGCTGCTGCGAGGATTACGCTGACGACGTAATGCATTCAGTTTTTGTTCGTAGATGCGGTACCGGGAATTGCACAAAATGTTTTAAATATTTCCTATTCCATTTCATTCGTTGCCACTCTGATGGAATAATTTAATTGTATTGTTCTTTTGTTGAGATATTATTCAAATAGAAATCTTTTTCAAATAAGCTTTCATAGTGTTCTTATTAATTAATTAACTATAAATTAAAATGACAAACTTTTCGTTAAGACAATTCAAACGAGTCCAAACTCAATAGGGTTGTGACATTCCAATGCGAAGTTCCTATGACCAACTACCAGCTCCATCATCAGATCAGCACCATTTCGTCATAATATTATAGTGTCACACGATTTCCACATATACGCAAAATGTCAGCTCAATCAGTAATCGGAGTCAAATTTAATTTTCAAGATGACAAACATCGGGATTGACAATTAATAGAAATATTTTTAGTTGTACTAAACGATAATATTATAGCGATTAACTAATTTAAGAACTTCACAGACAGCAAGAGCAATAAAATGTAATAGTTTTGTTTGTAGGGGGATAAGAGATAAAGTGGAAGAGTACTAGTACAGAACAGATTTGTATCAGCTCCGGAGCACACGTTCAATTAGTTTGTAAAACAACTTATCGGATAAATGAACTCGCTTCTAGTTAACCCACACCCGCACTTTACTCGACACCGTAACAAAATGAACGCGATATAAAAAATTGCACATTTTAATTCGTTGATCTTCCGATAGGAAATGGTCGAGCATTCACAAAATTCCAATAATCGTGAAATGAGATTGCGCTGTGAAGAATTGCAGTTCAATTAATTCTCTTTAGTGGCGCGACATCGAAATATGATATTTATATTCCTTGTTGATTTAAAACGCGCAGTATATTATTTTTATTTATAATTAGGTTTCAATTATAAAATAAAAATAATAAGGTATTGTTCTTTTTAAATATTCAACGTTTAAAAGCAGCAAGTTTAGTATAAATGTACAACAGGATAAAAACAATGTGTAGCATACTATTGACAGTTAAAGGTCAACGTACACATTTAGGGATGGTTACAAGACTATTAGAACAATGTAATTAATATTCAAAGTTACCCTTACTTAAAGCGACAGATAGTGGTAGCGGGGGACTGTGGATTTCCCGATAGCTCGCCGCTCATGCACTACCTTTTGATAATGTTATACGAAGGAATCTAACAGCTGCGGGGCTAGACATAATGCATTCACTTCGAAGCGATTCCACAGCGAACTTCAAAAGTGTATGAAATTGACGCGCGATAATCAAGTGACTTATCGAAATTTATTGTCAGTTCTATACATTTTTAAAGTTCACTATGGAATCGCCTCGAAGCGAATGCATTCAGTTTAACCCCGCTGGTTCGTCAAAAAAATAGACAATGTATTCACAGATGTTTAGGATGTGTGTTAACACACGCATTTGTATTAAAATCATAATAAAATTTACTACAGTTATAATTGGACAAAAGCTTTTAAAGTAAATTTAGAGTTGTGACCGATTCATGTAAAACATGTAATGCGACAAAAAAGAATAATATTTGATTTTAATGTTGAAACAAAGCGTGAAATTGGAATAAAAGGCGATTATAGAACAATACGATTGCCGATTTGTATTCAATAAAAGCTTTTAATGGGAAAATTATTTTAAAAAGCTTTAAGCGCTACAATGAAACGCAAAAGGATGAATGAAACATGAAAATGTCCTGGATTATTTTGCGCTTAAACGTTTGACTACGATTGAGTTTTGGACAGCGCACGAACAGAACAATGTTGGTACTACGAAGCTCGGTTGACTGCGTGAATAAATATTATTTCAATTATAAGTAACTCAAGTGTGTCCGTCTCTTTTTATAACAACTAATATTAAAAATATGCAAAAATTTGGATGTATAGATGGATATTCGTTAGAAGGTAACTCAAACATACAAAATAATTAAAATTAAATCTATAAGTCCGAGAAACACAACTTGTACTATTGGCAGTAATGTAAGTGTTCGAGTTATTTCTAATGGTAATCCTTGGAACATTTTGAAGTGTTCATGATTACAACGAACAAAGCGGCCGCACCAACACTAACAAAACAACTGCTCAACAATGTTCGACACCTAACTAGATGATGCTACTTCACAGCCTTGTTGACACAGCCTGCGGACTGAACACGGCAGGTGGTCCGTGCAATTTTAAACGAACCGCTAACCTCTAGTTGGACTACTCAAAAATTAAGACGTAAAATAACTACAATGGAAAATATAAGTTTGTCATAATCTTGCTACTTACTAATATAAAAATACGACTGCTTAGATGGATGGATGGATGTTTGTTTGAAGGTATCTCCAGAATGGCTGAACGGATCTCGTTGAAATTTGGCATTGATATAGAACATCGTATGAAAGAACACATAGGCTACTAATTATGTTTTTTTTTAAATTCAGACAGAGAGACAGAGTCGCGAGCGACCGTTAGTTATTTAATATTTACTGTGTCAAATCCAACGTCACAGAGAGCGTCAGGGATTGTGAGTTCCAATTATGTCGTTTGAATATAGTCATTGACTTCTAATACCAGAAAAACGTTAGATTAGTTAAGTAGATTGCTACAAAATTATAAAAACAATTTGCAACTATAAAAAATGTACAGAACTCAGGTAAATATTCCACTGCACTTTTACATTGTAGTTAAACTAAGTGTTTTAAAAACATTGAGTGAACTTTTCGAACGCAAAACGCTTTCGGATCTTTTTAGAGGATAAAAGGTTGATATTTACTAACAGAATGCTTTGGAACAGCTCGCAGAATGAGCGGAAAAGTGAACAATATATACTTTCAAATTGTACCGTGTTGTTAAATTTACTGCGAATGAATTTTAAACTTTATTTAAATCGTGTCTCCTGAGTTTAGCTTTGGTAAAGATTTTTTCTTTGATATAATTATAATTTAACGTGTAATTAGCAAAACTATATTCGTGAATATGTAATTACCACTACATTTTTAAATTGCCTTAAAAATATACACATAATTGAATTTTCCAAGTGCTTTGATTTATTCTGTCGCTTTTACGGAACTTCAAAAGAAGTACACTTCAGCATTTTGTTACTTTTTAAATTTATGTTATAATCATGATTTTTATAAAAATGTATACAACATTGTCAAAGTTTTAAAAATAAATAATGATATGCATTAAGTCATAACGTGGTACATATAAAGCGACGTCGTCATATTTTCGACAGTCACATTGTTTGAACGTGTCTCGGCGTTATGGAAAGGTCGCGGCGAGACGTGGCCGCATCGCAAAGTGCAATTTTAAAATGTAAACAAAAGCCCGCACCTCAACTCTATAAACTTTAACCTCGGCTTTCGCTATATTGAACCGCGTCGCGTAGCGTCGCGCTGGGGTAAGGCGCTCGTTTAATATTTTATTTCGCTAAATCAATCAGTGCCAAGTTCTCTTTTGCAAACAATAGAAAGTTTGCTCTTGATAAATTGTGGAATTATTATATCGGTGCACATTTTTTTATTAACATTACATAATTTCAATTACACAAAATATTTATTAAGAACATATAATACATATTTATATTAAACTAGCGGACGCCCCTGACTTCGTCAGCAAATATTGGACTTCAGACCAATAGATAACACACATACATTGCTTTATATAGTGTTCCATTCAGAGCGACCAACGAATCGGTCCGTTATCAATCATAACTTATTGATGTTGCCGCCGAGCTTTGATTAAGGCGACCACACTTCGCTGACTGAATGTAACGAATGCTTGAATTAGGGAACACATTCATATAATATTAAGTACACAATATTTATATAAATTTAATACAAATTAATGATAAATAAATTCTGCTATAAAATAAGTATGTAATGTCTTAATTGTGTTATGTTTTGTGCTATCTTAATTTAATCGTGGAACCTATAACCATATGTAAAAAGGTTACGTTTAATTATTCTAAAAATATCGTTGTTTAATAGATGTGTAAACACGAAAACGAAATGATGGACGACAATGACCGGATAAGAATGTTAGCTGACAATAATAATAAATATAAAGTAGTCACTGTAAAGTCACAAGACTGTCCAAAGACATTTTGGTACAGGCTTAGTTTATGAATTATAGCTGGTGTATACATGGGCAGTACATTGAGTTGCGGGCAAATGTACAATGTGGTTTACAAGAATTGAGCACATTAAGAGCTTACATTTCGTGTCTGCGCACATAAGCTGCTCTCGGAAAAGATTTGATGGCGAGGTTAGAGATTTATGTCAAGGATCATAGAGTCGGGTATCGGGGGATTTCAGCGCTCCAGCATCCGACTGTGCCCTTTGTGACTGAAGCACTATCCGGCTTCACTTCACTTTGTACCTCTTACTTCGCCTGCCACTTACCTTGTGGGACATTTCAATTACAGCCTGAGAAAAATCCGCGGTTAGACCGAAGCCCGAATATCGCGCGCGTATTCCGCGGATGCGCCCGATGCGGGACGGCTTTAGGACGACGACGAAATTGGATTCGCCGCTTAGTGGCCAGTTACATTACATTCAAATGCTATGTAATATATTCCAAATTTTCAGATACATAATAGCATAGATATAGTTTTGTATTTACGATTGTTTTACTGAGTCTAATAGAGGTTATGTGTTGATGTTTAGAACTCTAACATAATTTTCATACAGATTTCCAGACGATAAGATATAGATCATAGACAAATGAGAGGATATATAACTAAGTATTATATTAAAATAAACGACCATATATCTTGCTTACAATTGCGTAACAGAGTTTTTAAGACTTTAATAATGTATGAACAGTAGTAAAATTTCCATAATTAAGAAAATTCCACTCTGTTGATGAAGCAATTTCACGAATACATAAGTTAACATTGCAGTTGACATTAAATATTAATAGAACGACTGACTGACCACAGTTCTTTTAAATTAAAAGCGTAACTGACTGACCAAGTTCTTTACGAATAAATATTTAAGCAGCAGTGCACGAATTTCGAAAAGATTACATTTTGAAGTCAAAATAAATAATTTAAATTAATTAATTACAATCTGTATTATACGTTTTTAAGAGAATCGATAATCTATCTTTCTTTTTATATTATTATTTTTTGCAAACTCTAGTTGCAAAGAGAAGCAAATGGTATGTATATCATAGCATTTTATCTGCAGTTACGTACTGGTTTCTTTATCTTGTTTTTTCACCTAATGTCACTATTGAAATTGTCTTTACTACAAAAAGGCAATAGGTATTTAAAAATTGCATTGACCACGCATTAAAACTTACAATCAAATGTTTAACTTCATCGCTCTATCGTCATACAAGTACTGGGTTTGGACTACCGCTAAGTACATCTAAAAAGGTAGCCTTCACAGAGACCATAATAATGTTGAACAGTGGTGGTAGTTCAGTCGTATTACGAGTACAATTCCAATCATGCCTATCCACTAGATGCGACTTAGCGTTGCTAAGTTTTCACCACTCCACTTTCCCGGTGATATCACGATTTAATGTGAGGTTTCCCCGTTACGACGTATTAATTTGTCAGACAAGTTGTAATCTGACCACAGTTTTATTCTCTAAAATGCTCTTTGGTATTGCACACGCTTTGTCTAACAAAATTCGAAGGTGTATTTAGTAGATTTCTCAGTAGTATTAACATTTACGTATAGAATGAAACGATATTGTAACGTATTTTGGGTTATACGGTTGTCGCTGTCTCACCATAGAACAATATGTTTATTGTAGAATTTTATATAGGATTTAGTTTCAAAAGCTGTACCGAATTCTGGTATTTTTTTTTATAACAGATGGGGGCAAACGAGCAGCGGGAACACCGAGGTGTTCAACGACGCCCATGGACATCAGCAATACCAGAGGCACCGCAGATGCGTTATTTCCTCAAGTTCTAAATGTGAAGCACTGAGTTTCGTATTCTGAATAACTATGTAACTCAATTACTTTGAATTTATTCTTAATATTTTAATTTTACTGAGTATTACTCGCTAAATATTAAAAATAACAATCACTATATTATGACCGGGAATCAAAGTTTACAGAAGCCGCAAAACAAAATTTAATTTGGCCTGAACACTGCATCAGAAATAAAGTTAAAACAGTCGCTGCAGTAGGCGGGAGTACGTCCAACTTCTAACGCAAATGAATAGCGAATGGGAAAAGTTGGGCCGAGAAAAATGATGTCCCACTCGGCGAGTTCGGGGCGGGCCATTGTCGACTTACAGCGACTGTTGTTTGCCGATATTATTGTTATTAAATGCACGTAAACCTCGCGTGTTTGTAAGCACTTCGCTTCAGTCGTGTATTGTGTCCGTAGATTTATATACTGCGAGGTACAGCTTTTATGCTTTTATTACAAGTTTCATAAGTTAGTGACACATATTTAAAAAATAACAATAAACTATGTTCGAAGCTGCAGACAGCCGAGTAGTAAAACGGAAAGTAGATAGTTTAAAAAAATTATTTGCAAATGCTAAATAAATGAAAGTTGTTGTTTGAATCAATTTTTCCAAGAGTCTTATAAATTGTATGTTATAATATTTTTTCTTTTTATGTTTATCCAATAAGGGAATAGATGAAGTGTTGAGGAAACTTCGTCATTGGGCGTCGAGAGATAGTTCTAAAGTGAGTCATTAAGGTGAATGAAACGTGCTGCGATAAGAACTTTGTTTTATCGCTTTACTTTGCAAAGTATTAAATAAAAACAAAAGTTGTTTGTACTCACCGTCTTCGCCGTCTGCGCCGACACCGTGTCGGGATACTGGATGAGCGCTTGAAACGAATCTGGAAACAAAATGAATTGTTAAGTTCACATGATGATTATTTTAATTACATAAAAATTAGCTATTAACTGATAGCCTATACAAAGTTACTATATCTAATTACATATTATGTTCAAATCGTTTTAAACTATTTTATAGCTATTCCGTAGACATACCTTGTAATGTTCTTTAATACACCAAGGTAAACGAGAGCAGCGTTAATATTTAAAAAGCAAAAAGATGGGGTTCAATTAATTTGACTTTAGTTTATTACTAAGCAAAGTGGCGTCATATTTTTCCGTAATATCGCATGAACGTGGTCGGTTTTTACGGTATTTAAAAGGAAGATGTTTTAGAGATTCGTTGACAACTAATATCATGTTTACGAGCGCGCTCTAACAAGACGAAATTGGCGTTCAACGTGCGATGCTCCGCGCTAAGTCTTCTAGAGTTTAGTGAAGTCTCGTCTCAGGTGCACCGCAGCTATTTTATCACGTACACCGCTTTAGAATATTTGCATTAACCTATCCCGTAATTTGTTTTACTTAAAAAATAAACTTGCATACGCTTTGTTTATTAAAAGACTCGTTACTTTTTCTAAAGAAAATATTTTAGCATTATATTATAAGTTATATTGTAAGTTATCTTTATAGTCTCACCAGCTATTGTCCGGGACACCGTCGGCGCGGTATACAAAAAAAAACACTTATTTGGTAGCCTATGTGTTCTTCCATACTATGTTCTACATACATACCAAATTTAATGGGGACTCGATGAGCCGTTTTGGAGATACCTTCAAACTAACTTCCATCCATCCAAACATTCGCATTTACCTATATAATATTTGAAGTAAGATTTGGGGAAAATAAGGTTATTCAATTATTCTGGAGACATAATTAACGCACAATAAAAATTGTAGTGTAATTCGAGATAATAATCGTAAACATCTGTAGTGGATAAGAAAAGTTTTTATAGAGGCGTAAATTCAAAAAGCAGTTAATAGTGAAAAAGGCTAGAGTGATATTTATAGTGTAGTTTGTTTACTGGCAGGCTCGGGAGTGGAACCCTAATTTAGGTGTGAGGCCAGCGATCATTGCCGCTTGTGGGGTGAGCGAATAAATTCACATTTTTAGCTACGAGAAACATCGTTCGGGCAACACCTGCGTTAGCCACATAACCAACCATTAGACAGTGTCGTTTTATTTTTCATGATAAAGCCGTACGAAATATTTTTTCGTTCATCGGACAAGATATGGTTAGGAGCTTTAGCTAGATATGACTTATCAGATAAAAAAATACTAGAAGTTTACAAGCATGAGAGGGAGAAGAAAATTTATTAATAAAGTTCTGTACTATTACTTTATTTCTCCCATAAATATACAAGGTAACATTTATACATATAGCGTAACTAAATAATATATGACGCCATTAGCTCAGCGCGCCTCCGAGAATATAAGAACTTATTAGCTGTTTTCCTTCTCCTTTAACAATTTCCTCGGTCTTATAAAATATAGAAGTGCCCAATCCACTCAAGGTAAGAAACGTCTAACTAAATTAATACTAACGTGCTGTCTCCTTTATACATACTTAAATGCTCTTTAGGGCCCATATTTTTCTCGACTTGCCTATTTCTTAATGTTCCAATGGATCTTATAAAATTTAATACTGAGTACCGAAGTAACGTAATATTAAACTTTACGTAAAATATTGTGGCACTTCATAATATGCAATTGTTTAATAAAACATGTTTTTATTCAAACCGTAAAATTAACAGCAGAACATAAAGGAAATGTTAATTAACTGGCAATTATATCAAGTCATTTTCTGTGAGCGTTTTGCAATAATTTTAAAATCAATTAACCAATTATGGTAACACTTTTGAAATACAATAAGGGTGTTATTCTACTTTATATGATGTCGTTATTGATTGTAGTGAGTGGTGGGATAACGTTTTGGTTGCGACCCTTCCGCATAAATTGCCGCTAAATGTCCACTTGCACACGGCCCGCACGGGTCCCGCGCCGCGTAATAAACACTATTTGTGGGAATATTTACTTTGTGATTATTGGAAAAACTCCAGCGACCATTATTGGAAACATATTTCTTTTCGAATACATGATTAAATTATGTTGATCGTAGGCTTTCTGGAAAACTTTTTGCACATGTTTCGAGAATAATTTATTATTTATCATACATTATTATTCTCAGATACGTTTTGGGATAGAGTTATACAAATAATTTGCATGCACAAAATTGTTAAAGTAACTTTAAATTTGTAAGCGACATTTAAATGATTCGTATCAATCGAGTTAAATTTATTGAAAGTTGGAAAGGGCGCGCAAGATTAACATATTAAATATTTAAACCGATACGTAAACACGAGCTGAGGGATTGGAGGTTGGAAATTAAAATTTTCTAATCCCCATTTTGTTGGGCAGCCAAGAGGTCGCTTCCGCTATGTAAATTACAGCAGGAGGCCCTACACCCCGACCCCCAGGCCCCAAGGCCTCGCCGGGACTCAGATTACATCTTAATGTGATATCTTAAATCTCAACGTCTCGTCTCCATTGAACGTGCTCTGCTGAACTTGAATGCTTCCTGGCAAATTACGCGCGCTTTCAGCCGCCGATGCTCGCCTATTACCTGCGCATCCAGCTTAGCTCGGACGGCTTTACTTCAAAATATTACCAAACATACTTACTTTTTTGGGATGTTTTTAAAGGTAATTCCTTTTCAGTTTTATCAAAGTTAAATGAGAGAGTTATTAAAGGATTAATCAAATTTTTTGTATAAAATATCAGCAATAAACCTACGTATAAACAGGCCGCGTAAGATTACGCCAGTGGACGAATCAAATCCTTAATTACGGAAATCCTATGGCGACATAGACACGACATCTACCACAAACAGGGGACGCATAATAATTGTAGCGGTCTGCTACACCTTAATAAAGCCAATCGGGCGAGGGTAAGAGGTGGTGCGGCGAGCGGAGGGTAGGATTACGACGCGGCTACTCCACGCCGTTCATTGAGATTTGTTTCGGTATTGCGAGCGCGTATGATAGTAACCTTCCGTTATACGACTCGACCGACGTGCTAACGAGACGCGACGCGCAAACAATAGACTTAAACGGCGCTCTTTCATTGCTACATTTGAATAAACCGAACAATTTGCAACTTTGTCGCTTTCATTAGCGTAATATGATAAAAACTCCGGAATATTCATTGGTTCAAGTCTCCGAAACTCATGAAAACCACAACGAGACACAACACGAACTCAAATTCGATAACAAATTCTAAGCGGTTCAAGTTATAATATATTTTATGCTATGGAAAATTATGTAAACAAGTAAATAAAGGGAATAATATTGAATCTTATAAATCACGAAAGCTGTACGTTTATTTGCGATCGCGATTGATAAAGGTTGAGAGGATCCAATTCCCCAACAGAAATAATCGACGTGTAAATATGTTGCCGTGGCCGTAAAACATCGGCGAAATATATCCGAATACGTTCAAACATTACACTGTAATCTGGTTTTTTGCATAACAAACGTGATACGCTTTACTCGATTGCCAACAGACAATTTCATGTGAATATTTGAAGCAGAAAGAATACCTCGTCCGTAAGAAGCGCTCGTCGAGCCATTACATGTTACTTAACTTTAGACAGCTATCTTCATTCCGCGTACTGTAGTATCGAAAGTGAATTGGAAACGAAATATGTGGTTTATTTGCTCCCCATGAGACAGGATAATTGAAGTAGGGATTTATACGTTTCCGATCTGGGATCTGCCGTCGTGCCCGCCGCGCCGTTAGCCGGTGCCGCGGCAGATACCGGCACGGCTTTGTATGCTCCGTGTTGTGTATATTTACTCACGGAGGGTACCCTTAGCAAACTCTACTTCCTACAATGTATATTTGTTTTAGAATTTGTTCATCTGCTTTGCATTCTATTAAACGAATGTTCGGAGGAAAAGTTTCAAAGTTTTGCTTAAATGTCGAAATTCGTGATCAAATTAACAAAAATCTTAACAAAATTACAAAATAATTTACATGCAGACGTTCAATAATGCATGCTTTTTAACTAATAGATTTGAAATACACAAAGGCTTCAGAAAATGAAATCTTTCAAAGTAAAGTAGCGTTTAGTTAGTTTAAAACAAAAGGGGGAGAGTCGGTAAATAATGGCAGACCGTTAGAGACAAAAGCTTTTACAATTGGACAATGACGAATGCGGCAAAAAAGCAAACAGCAGTTTCGGAAAGTGAGCAAGGGTCGGGGAGCGACGTTCGGAAATTGGAAATGCTGCATTAGCGGAGGTAGCGATACGCGCAGCGCCCGCCGTCGCCACCCGAGTCCTCTATAGCGACTCATTTGCATAACGCCGTTTTGCTAATTAAGTTTTCATATCAAGGAATCAAATAAACATTTGAATTATATCTTTAAATGTGTCATTCGACCACTAAAACACTGCATATTATGTTGTTCCAATATACTATACTTGAGCTGATTTGGTATAGATACTTTAATGTGATTTAGGTTTATCTGGCTTAGCGATGAATTTGTCGATTGATTACTTAAATTATATAATACATAGTTTATCTTTTACTATATTAGGTTATCTTTAATAGTAAGTGTGAGTTCTTTGTGTGTTTTTAGAAGATTAAATTCCCGCCGGTGAGTAAATTGCACGTAATAAATATAAACAGGCGTCTACTTCTGAATAAATAAGTATTTTTGTAAATTCGATGTCAGTTGTTTGACAAGGGTTCGATTGAGACAGTAAACGGAGCGCTCCTCTTTACTTTCTACTCGGGAAACTTTGTTTGGAGGTGTTTCTGTGGACTCGGTCGCATTAATATGTAAAAAGAATTGAGAGGCCCTTGTATATAAAACGTTACTTCGTAATTGTGTAGATTTGATTAAGGTTTTTAAACTAAGTTTATAATTAGCTGGAAGTGCGCAGCGACCGCCCCGTGGCTTATGAAATATGTACCTACGTACCTGCCTGCCAACGGATTTATTTAGGATATGCATGAGGGTACGATTTAAATTTTAAACGGATTGCGCCCTTGGATTCCGGCTTATGTTTGGTAAATCTATCACTATAACACGGCCGCGGTTGAACACATTTAATTTTAAAGCTCACCATCATATAAATCGTTATGACTTGCTTTATACGCCTGACAAAAAGTTTACATGTTTCGTAACATTATGTTTACGTACATATCATCATCGTCACCCTGTGTCTGTTATAATTAAATTGTCAAGAATGACATTGAGAAGAAATGTATAAATCAAGCAATACTCACTGTTTTTGGTGAATGTGACAATTTTGAGCACTTTCCCATACCGCTGGAAGATGGAATATAGCACGTCGAGCACGATCGGGTATAACATGTGCTCGATTATCACGCGCAACACCGTGTTCGGCCCGCCCTGGTAATAAAAAACAAATATCATAATACTTATATTGATTAGGCAATGTAATGTCAGTATTACTTGACCAATTCTAGAGTTTAAATTCGTCATGTATCATGTCTCTGCCGTTCCTATTTTTTCACGACAAATATCTTTTGTCTTTGTTTTTCTACTAATCGTTGTTTTTACTTCGTAATAAGTTAACAACAAGAATATTTGATTTGAAATAAATAAATTAATTTAGCTACATAATGTGACATTTGACCTCTCATGACACACCTACTCGTAGTTTATTTAGATCTTGCAAATTGCAGTCTTGATGCCGATTTAATATTCTCAGGTAATTACACAGGCTGCTAAGAGATTCAGTATCACATTGTGCACACTTAAATATTAGCGTAAATGTATACATACTATGTAAGTATGTTACGATAATGTAACGTTATTTAGGAAAAAAAAAACTATAAAAAAATGTCAAGTCAAAAAGACGTGACGTAGTTATTCAACAACTTCAACATCCTCTTTAAATAAGTCCTTGCAGTAATGTATTCTTTAAGAATTTAATTTTAAATTTCCTAATTCCTTTTTTTTTTTATTTTATAAAATGTTTTTTTCTCTTCTATTAGATCAGCTCAGCATTTAACATCCACTAAATATGAATTTAATTTCAATTTTAACAAGCAATAGTTTAGCGCAGAGGCCTAAGTCTCGGTCGATATAATAAGCGTAGTTTGTGGTCACTTTAGGAGGCCGGAGGTACGTATCTACGTATATTACTTCCTCTGCTCGGTCGCTGGGGATACTAAAGCTGATTTGTAGTACGAGTTTGTAATATTTTAGATGGTCTGGTAAACAGTTTAGGTATTTAGGCAGAGTATATTGTGGCTAAATGCACTCAAATGTTATTGTAAGGAGTAATATTTAAAGACGATTTGAATATTAAAGCTTTGTACTTGAATGGTGAGTGAAGTCTCAGAGGGACAGGCAAAGATTACAGAACGTCCCTTGACTCACCTGTTAATATAGAGTACCTTAAGCAGTTCAACTGTTTCTAGACAAGTGCAGTACCTCTTGGTATTTCTAAATTTTTAAAGTCCATTGCTATAAAAGTAGCGATTTCATGTGATTATAACGGATTATTTATTATATTATATACCTGTTGTTTGCATAATGTTTCACATGTTATACGATACTATATGCATATAGACCATATGTTATATAGTAAAATACAAGCATTATGTAGAAATGTAAAAATATCTAATTAACGAGAAGTGTGCCTAATCCGTACTTTGACTGGAAGTCCACAATTTCTGTCTACACCTGTGCGTTATGGCCGATACAGCTTTATGAGTTTGTTACCTGTATTTCTGTGCCACCGTTGGCGGGCTGCAGTGCGGCGCCTGCGCCGGCGACGAGCGCTGCACCTGCGCTGTTGGAGATCATTTGCGCCGCCTGCAGCGCTGCTTGAGCGGATGCCGACTGCAACAATAGCATTTTCAATTAACTTAATCCGTCTCATTCATTTTAGCTTACCTTATAGCGATATGGTAGTAAAAAGTCATCGAAAATTTAAAGGCATCGCATTATTGTTTCAAATTATATCGATGTTGAAAACTTAAATTGATAAAATTGTGTGATACTAAAAGTTCAAATGAGCAAAGCAAACGATGCCATTAAAGTTATTACTTGAACGATTTTTTTTTATATTGCTTCAATCGATAATTACAGTTTCATTCCCTGGAGTATTTACATTTGCGATCACGAAAAGAATAAACTATTCACTAATCTCACGTAAGTCGTGTAACAATAGAGCGTGCATAATACGACAAAAGAAAGTTATCTCATGCACGCGTGAGCCACCTCCGAGTGTCCCGGCGATAACATTGACCGCATCAGACAAAGGGGCCCCTAAACTTATTTTGTATCGTCCGGGATTTCGGCACTTTGTTACGACAGAAATAGGGGCGAGGAGACACGAACGAGGCCAAAACATCGCTTTTGTGAAGACTTTGAAAAATTGGACACGTGTATTATAAAATGTATGAGACAACAACGCAATATGATTGTGCCAGAGTTTAGAGTACATTGCGTTTTCCAAGCGTATAAGCTCGTTGTTCTACACAAAGAATTAAATATAGCCTGACTTTTAAAGCCAAACCTTTTTAATACTCTTCGTCCACATCAATACATTGTTTTTGTTCAAAAGTATGAAAAGCTTTTGCTGGACTTTTGTTAAATTCTATTTAAATTATAGTCATTTTCACATCTTCAAATCACTGATAACAAGGTATAAACATTTTTAATATAAAATATACAGGAATAACCATTTTGTACCTACAAAAATACGCTTTGTATATCAACGAATTCAACAAACGGTGTCAATAAATATTACCGTTAAAGTTATGAAAGTACAGGTGAGTGACACGGGCCGTATCAACTACATACAAAGCGGCCGAACACTCGCAGTGTGGCAGCATTTTTAACACGTTGAAAAAAAAAATTACTGGCACGCGAGTAAAACGGATGCTGTTGAAGAAGGGTTACGAGCGCGGCACTCTTTGATCCTATATTTTCACATGGCTTTGTACGACGGGGGCTTGACAAGCGCGCAGGCCAGACACAAAAATAAGGCTTTAACCGTGTCACGGTAAGCCCGCTGCCGTCGACGGCAAAGGCCCCGCTACAAATTCGCCCCGACTTGCCCTCGCCTTCCTTGTTCTTCTTTTAGCTTGTGTTTTTTTAGCTCGTATATGACCTATCAGCAGTTGAATTGTTAAATCGCCGTACTTTTATATAAAGCTTTAAAGGGATTGTTTTATATTGATTAAGCCTTTGCAGGAAAACTTACGGCAAAGTAAGACAATAATGTAATTGTTTTGACCCTTATTATACGCGTTTTGCAGTTTACTATTGGTTAAAACCATTTTTGTTACTGTCATAGTATTTTTTTTTCTAGAATGCTTATGATTTTGTACAGTTTAGTAGGTACTGATGTGATAAGAAACTTATTGCTACATTTTATAATATTAATCATATTAAATTGGAAATCAAAATGTTAAATCTGGGCGTTCAACATTTACAAAGAATGAAAACTCGTCTAAAACGCAGTAAAGTCGTTCGCTGTGATTTTTAAAAATATTTCCGAGTCACCGAAGCTAAGTAGCCTGCTCCCCGGCGAACTCTGGGAGTTATTTAAAAGGTCCTATTCTCGGGACATGCAATCTTTCACCGCGACCACTGGCAGACGTTCGGGCGACGGCGACGTTGACGCGACAAAATAACTCCGTCCGCCATTCGAAAGTTCCATTCAACGACCACAAAAACCTTTTTCGTCGCATGATTGATCAAAGCCTCACTTTCAATGTACATTCTTTAAAATGCATCGGTTCTCAATAGACTCTGACAAATTCATAATGTTACATTTTAAAGTACAATTTTAAGTTACAAACTTTTGTTGTCTATTAAATTTAAAAAAATTATATTCAGATACAAGTACGGTATGGTTATTTGAAACTAATTTGAAAGCCTGAAAACGCATAAAAATCTATACATTAACGGATAAGTTGGATTCTAATCTTACTTCTTATTAATATTATAAATGCGAAAGTTCAGATGGATGGATGTTTGTTTGATGGTATCTCTAACGGCTCAACGGATCTTGATGAAATTTTGCATAGGTGTAGAATATAGTCTGGAAGAACATCGTTAGGTTTTTTTTAATTCGGCGCGGACGGAATCACGGGCGATAGCTAGTTTTAAATAGATCAGACCAGACATTTTAGTACGTAACATCAATATTACTTCTAAGAATACGTGGGATTGTTTTTAATATAAAATCTTAAATAAACGCAAAAGGCACATCGACGAGAACATGTGACGACAATCCGTGTTTATTCTCGCAAATCCCTCATTATAAGTTTTAACAAGAGCAACACAAGAAATGATCTCGTAAAGTCTCTACAAATTACCATTACGTATAAAGTTATTGTCTATTCTATTTAATGTTAACTTTTTGTTATGAACTTCCCCATTGATATGATTATTTAAATATTTTTTAATACAATTGGAAATACTAGTAGTAAAATAAAACTTACTGTAGGGATAGGTAGAAATAAAATAGATTCTGTAAATATTCAGTCTCGCATACAGTATAAAATATTAAAGAGAAATAAACATTATTTGATAAGTTGTCAACAGGCAAACAGTCACATCATTATGAAGGATCGCTTAACGCGCAGGAAGTGAGGGTGACGACAGACGTCAAAATATGTATCCGAGCTTAGACAGAATAACGACATTTTGTGAATATTTGAATTTTCGTATAAAACGAAATGAAATTATATCTGTTATACTTCCAAAAAAATAATAACAAATTTTGTGTCGTTAAAATATAATAAAGGTATTCGCAATCGGAAAGAGCGTCGGTGGCTCAGGGGTCAAGCACTTGACTTGCAATGTGCAGGTCTTGGGTTCGAATCCCGCCACGTACCAATGTGTTTTTCGATTTCCGATTTACATATATACATTTATCTGACGTTCTTACGGTGAAGGAAAACATCGTGATGCAACCTGCACATATCTGAGAAGAAATTCTAAGATATGTGTGAAGTCAACCAACCCGCACTGGGCCAGCGTGGTTGACTATGGCCTACCCTTAAGTTAGGGTAGGCTCCGAGCCCCTCGGTGGGGACGTGTAGTGAGCTGATAATGATGATGATTTGAAATCGATGTTTGAACTGATCCTATCATAGTTTCACACATGTTAATTGAAAAAACTTAAAGTTGCAACAAAAAAAAGAAATTAAATTTTAAACAGATATTAGACGCATATGATACACTATTTATTTGCAAAACATATATCAAATAATTGTAGGTAAGGATATCGTGCTTAGAAACCTTCCTATTGTTAGTACAAATATACAAATAATAGACTCCAAGCGCCGCCCGTTTTGAGTGTAATCATTACATTAATTAGCTATTGTGTTTACTTATGTTGTTTGTATTGTTGACAATTAGATCAAACAACTATTATATCATCGATTAGTATACAACACGATATAATATTGTTGAGAAATTGATATATTTTAACATGGAGAATATTCCCTTTATTCTGGTATGCGAGCAGATTAGCATCTTACTTTGTGTTTGTTCACATCCTTTGATATGTTATGTTAAGATTTCATAAATCAAAAGGAATAACAAATTAATACCCAATATTCTGGTTTTAAACTGATTTATATATCACAATTTTTTTACTGTAAAAATGTTTGAAATTACCTTGGAATGTGTTTGGAATATTTATTGATATCAGATATAATTTATTAAGCATTTCAATGATTGCTACGGATTCGGTGTTCTCTTTCGGGTAGTATTGATTCCTTTTCGGCCGCGAGAAATATAAAAAGCTTCATTTCATTATACGCTACTACTATTCATTACAAATGATGTTAGTTTCAGTAAGTAAAAATAATATAGTACAATATATTCAATTATTACTTTGTCTATGAACTGGTAAAGATAAAAAAACGTAGCCAGAAAGCCATAAAAACTAAAAGAGGAAAGAGGGAAATCTTATAAGATTGATTATAGATGAATAATCATCGTTAATTTTACATTTAAATAATAATATACCATTTATAATATAAATTAATTAAAAAAAATACTAAATTAAGCTGAAAATAATCCATATAGGTAATAAAAAATTATATTTAACTGGTTCGTACGAGCGTTGTACAATGAAAAGTTATATAAAACATAGGAAATTTATTGTCCTTTAAAATAAATCACAGCCTTTATATTCGGATACATAAATATTGGTAAAAAATATTGAAGGGTTGAAAATAGGAAGCATTATGAGGGCCTTAATGCCGCTTGCGTTCGCGTCGGCCAACAATTCATTCGTTGATGTAATGTGCTAATTGAACAATCGTTTCGTTATTGTTCCGAGTGTACGCTCCCAGCGATCCGAATCGAACTTTTTCATTGAATATAAAAGAATAATAACGCTGTACATTTTAGGCCTTTTACCGTAAAAACCGGTGAATACGAGAGATTTGTATTCATACGTAACATCGTTAAAATTGAATATACATTCATTTTTACATAAGCCAGCGGTGGAGGCAGACGCACTGGAAAAATATTTAATACACTGTTATCGATGTTTTTAACGATTTCATGTTATTTTATGTAATTGCCACATTAAAAGCTTTATTTATTTATGCTTCGCTCAAATGATTTTATAACTATTTTTTTTAAATAGTTAACTTGACATATTTAACAGTTGAAGCTGACAGTGTAAGAATTATAGAAAGCAGCTTCTTCTATGCAACCACATTTGAAATAAATCGACAATGAGTTATTTTAACAAAGAAAATATCTTTTAACACTGTAATAAGTATAATACATGGATATAGAAGTTAGGTCGGGTCAGGAAGTAGAGAGAGTTAAGTATAAGAATACGAATCGTATGATACCTCCCTCATAAACATCTGCATCATTACTATAAGTCAATCGAAAATGTAAAAATATTATCGTTGATATCAATATACTATGACACTTACAGCGTTGCTATGCGTCTGATCGGTCTTTAGTTCCTTGTGGTTGGAAAACTGGACGTAAACGGCGCGCCCGCGGAGCTGCGCCACGCACCCGCCGAAGTAAGCCACCATCGCTACAGCTGATATCTCCTCCGCCATCTCGAGGAATGCCTGGAACAAATGACAAACATAAATTCAATACTATTTAAAACCAACCGAACATAGAGATATGAAGACGATATTGTTTTATATCATGTGTCAAATTAGAAACAAACAAATTACTTGCCGTAATCTCGTACGAGATTTAAGTGGTATTAAATATGTGTGTAATATGAAAGATTTATTCAGATGTAAACGTGAACAGAGATCGTAAATTTCGTAATGAAAGAAAGTTTACAACAGATACAAGAATATCTAAATATTGAATACAAAGGGGAGGAATAAATTGAGTACGAAGTGGGTACGGTGCGACAACTATCGTCTAATCTAATCGAATACCAGACTCGCGAGCAAAATATATGGGAATGAAAGATGACGCGTCGAGAGGTCTCGTTCTCGCTCCGAGTTTGTCGCATCCATTTATTTTATTCGCACCGACGACGGATGGTACGGTTCTAGTTAATTGACAGTAGAGTGTATCCTATACTTTTCTACAATTTAGTGCCCTAAGCTACGTATTTTACACTATTGCTTAAGGCAACATCTATAGTCTTTTGAGTCGCATAGATGTTAATAGATTAAGAATACTCGCCGTATAGCTTATTTTATTAAAGTAAAGGAGATTTGTATAATTATATAATTTGTACCAAACAAATAATATCTCAATTCCAACTGTAATATTTTGATATTTCGATACAACGCAAATCTCTTAATATCGAGTAGTAAATGGCAACAATTTTGAATTGATAATGATTATTTCGACGAGGCTATAGACAGTTAGCCTGTCAGTGTTGGAACTACACACCAGTGCGGGCTGAGTGCAACAATGTTTTCGAGTTTGCTATAATAATGGTGCAAAATTAATAGGCTTCGACCGGTCCGAAGCTTTCAATCTACATAGCCCCTATCAATTTCTAAATGCTCTATGATTTTACCGATTTTAGAGGAAACATTTAGCATAGCTGTGTACTATTTCATGTGTGTACCGTACACGACCGCAGGTTTCTGCTTTTGGCATTTAAACATGCCTGACCAACGTACAAAATACACCCGCCGGAGCGGTGTAGCATGCCGCAAATTAAATAGAATTTGTCTGGTGCTAATTAAAAAACAAATACCTGGTAGCGAAACCCAAACAAGGAATTGAAACAAATTGGTCTGCTTTTGCCGCAAACCACGATCACTGCTGAAGCTCTTTTGTGTAAATTTTTCTTGTAGTCGTAAATATAAATTTTTATTTATATGAAAAATTGAAAAAGTAACTACAGTTAAAAATAATTTGGTTGGCCATAGATATCGTTTCGGGCATCAACCGAAACATTATCCACGCCGAGGCTGTGCACAAATTAATGGAAGCGTCGATGTGACGCGAGTTTCGATCGTAATATAGTGTCAATGCCTCTTTCGTTTTAATCACCGAGAGTGGAGCGATTGTCCGCACCCACTCACATCAGTGTTTGCCCATCTCTCGACAGATGGCGCCTTTGTAACTGGACTCTCGGAGCTTTGGTTACCATCAAATACTTTCATCATCTTGACGAGGCCCATCAAAGGGCCGCTAGCACTTCTACGTATACATATAACACTTACGCGTGTACATAGCATAGTGAAGTGTTGGTTGTGTGTTAATTAATTATACGTAACTCGGGCACCGGTTAACGTTAAGTGATTGCATCCTTTATATTGAAAATGGACGTCGAATGCAATATTAAATTTTTGCACAGAATGTTTAAATGTATATGACAGCAATATAAATTCAACCGGAGCAGGGAAATGCTTCGCTGCCTTTCAGCGGATTGCATCTTTAGCGCGCGAATGAAAAGACTCGGAAAATTTCATAACAAAAAAGCGAGCGAGGAGCTGTGACCGTTCATAAAAAGGGATTCGACTTGTTTCTCTTACTGGAAGAGAGATTGTTTTCCTTCACGGCGAGTTATATACGGGGGTGGATGTCATACTGGCTATTTATTAGACGGGATAACATTGTCGCGGCATCCGTCTCGACTGCTTCCCGTAATAAGATTTTCTTTTTTATCATTTTATTCCACGGCTGTAAACTAACTCATTTTTAATTTGTCAGCCAGGACTCGTAAATTCCACAATGCACGTGTAGCCTCGTCCCCGCCGACGTAAAACGCGCAGTAAACCGCCGGATGTCTCGCCTTAAACCATGTCCGTCTTCGCTCCGCACATCACACACACAAGGATCACACAAATAACCGTTCAAATTAAGTTTTAACTTTAAATCTAAAGACGAACGCTCTCAATAATTGCCTTGTATTTTATTTTTTACATTTTTTACTATAGTAAACTTAAGAAGCGACCGAATCAAGACGATAGACACATAAATTTTAGTCTAATATCAATATTTAAAGATGTAAATATTAATATACTTGAGTGTATTTGTAATATTTGTGGAATAAAAATATCAAACATGTGTACGCTTATCGAGTTTCTGTTGATGTTGCGAACCCATCTATGTACTACCGCAGAGGCCTCCTCGACCCAAATTGAAAATTATTTTCGACGTCGTCGCACCCTTGATTTCCGCCAAATGTAATTTTCGATGAAATCTCATGTCTGGGTTAATTTCTTAACGACGACTATTTATTTTGTGCGTTAGAATTTTCTAATTTAAATGTGTCCTTGCAGAGTATATTTTTTTCATAAACTACCGGTTGCGCAACTTCGTCAGTGGAACATAAATAATAGTCTAAGTTACATCGGCACACATAAGCTGCCTGCCAGTGCAAGTACTGTCAAAATTGGTCCATTCGTTTCGTAGATTACCCGGAATAAACGCAGACTTGCGGACAACAGACAAAGAAAGATTTAAAAAATAGATTTTTCAATATAAACAATGTACGAAAACAGTGTACAAAATATGTTTTTTTTTTTAAATTACATAAAGACACACTAATTTAATTCATCATCATCAGCTAACTATACGTCACCACCGAGGGGCTCGGAGCCTACCCTAAGTTAAGGGTGATTAGGCCATAGTCAACCACGCTGGCCAAGTGAGGGTTGGTTAATTAATCTGATGAATTGTTTGCATTTTTAAAATAAAGCGTGAGAACTTTACTGATAAGTGTGTTAGAAACGCGTGACATTTTTACAAGGCTGTCGAGAACGGTAAAGTTAATACAAAACGGAACGAACAGAGACCCTGGTGACCCGTGACACAATGCAGCCTACTTGCGGACACCACCCACTTGTTGTCCTTCCGGTGCGATTACTGCCTCAATTGTGACCGACTTATATTGCGTGGTCAACTTGCTTAATAAAGCCATACTTATATGTTTATAATTTTGACTGTAAACAATATTATTTCAATTTACATTTCCTTTTGTATTATGAATGTATAACGATATTTCGAAAAAATCAAGTAAATTAAAAGTAAATTATAATACAAAATTGATCTTAAACGTTTTTAGAGTTGTATCGTAATTTTTTTAAAGTATAATCATTGTTATGTTCCTTTTTTAATATCAGGGTACATAGAAAAGAACAATATTACGGTACACGACCAAAATATAGATAATGAATAATATTAAATATATTAATTTACTTCATGTAAAATGTAATTGGGATTTAAATATTGTTGAGTGCACCTGTATGTTGTTAAAATTCGTAACAATGAACTGGAAAACTTTAAACGCGTGCTCTATTTGGGTAATGGATTATTTTCAGAGTAAATTTACGACAATGTTAAAATGAATTTATGTTTTGGCACGTTGTTTAGTCCTTCCTTTAAAAAAATAATTATCAACATCAAAGTAGAAAAAAATAATGCTGTGAAAATACAACGCGTATGACTTTAAGAAAGTCGAAAACTTGCAAGAAATGTTGACTAACATCGTGGAAATGTGAGATTAAGAGTCTTTAGTTTATAACTTTTTATTTTTAATATTAATAAATAGAACAAGCAAGTGCAAATTAGATTTTAATGTAACTTTAACGTGTGTAGGAGAACGTTCTACCAACTTTAGTGCTTTATCATGTTTTGTTATAGCTTTCAAATACACCTGTGACCTGGTGAATTCAAAACAATTAGATATATTAGCCCAGGTAACGATTTGTACAAACAATATTTTATATAACACGCTCAAGAAGTATTTTAAGGCATTGTAAAGATATTTTTCCTGGTGAATTTATAACAGATAATAAATTCTCCTGTTTCGGTCTTCACTTATTTGGAACAATATTTAAAAATTATTAGCCTTTTAAAATCTTGGCCTGCGTGACTAATTTCATCAACAACTACATAATGTTTAACGTAAAGTAAATTACTCAACATACCTGATTTTTGCCTTTAAGGACGAGTACGTTGGTGACGCGGCCGAAGGGCAGACCCAGCTGTATGATTTCCGCCTCCGTGGTCTCGTTTGGTATGTTCCGGATGTGGATGACGCGCGACGGCTTGCCCACATTCTGCTCCAGTTTCACCTGCAACCAGCACATTACATACATAAATCAAAGATAGTACTATGAAACACACTATGGAATATTTTAATACTTACAATATACAGTCAAAACATACTATAGTAAAGAATCAAGGGGATATGCTTTATTTGATTGTAATATTCATAAACTGCATTGTTATGTTTTGACAACAGTTTTAGTCGCTATAACTCCTTCTAGAGGTTTCTATTTTAAATGAATTTTCAATAGTCATTCCCTCAGTCATTGGACACAAATATTTACATATTTACCGACTTTGTTATCATCAAAAGGGACTCTTATTATTTTAAGTCGGTTACATATTTAAATGCAAAACATATTGCTATTCTGCGTACATTGTACAAAATAATTTGATATTAAAAGCAACATTGTACAAGAAACAAATGTATATATTTTACGTCAATCTTTTGTAACATCAATCAAGGGGGTCCGGAAGAAACAATCCGTCATCTTGGGACATCCGCCAAATTGTATTTATACCGTCTGATGCTATTCGGTACATATACCGCACTATTCCTTCCGAATCTCATTTTCTTAAATCGTTTTATTTGTTTGGTCTTGTCGCATAAATGTTTAACGTATGATATTACAATATTAACCATATAAATGCTTATTTTAAACACAGTGATAAATAAAATACGAAACTTATGATTTGATATTTCTTATGTTAGGAAGAAAATCCGCTACTGCGCTAGTGTATCAGCGCAGCACTAGCCTTATTAAAATGTTAACGTTTATATCCCCTCCCTGTTCAATCTGACACTTGACTTGATAACGAAAGTGCGCCATTCGCGCTAAATGATTTTAACTAATAATGTCTAAAACTTACAAGGAAATTCTTTCTGATTTCCATAATTACTTAGACGACTAAAACATGCTATTGTGATCTTTTTAATAAATATTACTGAACAAGTTACAAATATGTAATTAACATAATATATTAATCTGAAAAACCTTATTCTGAGATAAAAATTCTAAACAGAATGTACCAAAAGTCCTATACTCCCTACATCTCGTCACATAAACGTTAATGGTGGAGAAATGTCAAAGGCAGTACGTGTATTGTTTGTACAAAATTACGTGGAATGTGAGTCTAAACGGCGAACAAAATGACCGCTCTAATATACATAAATAAAGCTAGTTATTGTTCGCGGGGAAGAGCCGGTTGGATAATTGAAAAGTCGATGTAGTATAATTGTCGAGGCTTATCGGGCCGGGCCCGATGTGGGCGCCATTGTTCCCAGGAGAGCCTTTTGATTACGCCACTGGCCCGAACCGTAGCCCCGAATATAATGTAGCTTTATATGACACTTCACTTTCTATTGAGGTGAAAAGAGCGAGCGCTGTGAGTTTTTGCAATTGATGTTAAGTACGATCCTCTGATAACTTTGAATCATGGAAGTTATTACTTTAAGTAAGTTGTTTTATCGAAAAATTATTCGTAGCAATTTTCTTCTCCTATCAATAGAATTTTTATAGATGATGTTAGATTTAAATTAAAAGTCCCTGTATGCTTATTTTAAATTCTTATTGTTAATTGTTACATATAACATACTATGATGCATTCATAGAAGTGGAGTCACGAGAAAATTTAAGGAGGTCAATTTCGATTAAAGGAATATCGTACAATCTATACATTAAATGAGGCAAATCTCCGTAAGTAAACAAATAAAAACATTTTTCCAAACAGACTTGTGAAAGGTAGGAATAAATCGCGGAACAGGTTCGCCCACCTTTAGGGTCCGCGGCGATATTTTCTCTGCTTGCGAAGGAAAACAAGTGGTACGTAAAACGCGAAGAAGGACGTTACTTTCGTTGGGTCAGAAAATCTGCGAGAACGTTTTCCACATCAGACACTTTAAATCATTCGCTTCGTCTCACATTTCATCCATAAATATTAAATTTTGGCTTGGCTGCTGGAATAGAAAAAAGAGATATTGTGACGACATTTTCCTTCGAGGATTTCCCGGAATCGGTCAATTTTCCCGATGATCGCGCAGCCTGTGTTTATTGAAATACTATTTTTCAGTTCGTCGCCCGCAAGCTTCTATGTCAATGCCAATGTGTTTTTGTGTCACTAAAAGCCTGGTAAATCACTTTTTATATTAATACTTTAAACATATATATTTAATTTTCATAAAGTAAGGGTCTTATAAATAACACCAACTTCACCGAAAAGCAAGGGACAATATTATATTTCGTATGACCAATACTTAATGTAAAACACGACCGAAACTTTGGCAAAGAGAAGTAAGAAGGACTTAAGCTCCTTGCGGCAGCCTAAGGTCAGTCAGGTTGTCTGAACCTCCGAGCAAAAAGGACTTTAGAGATTGCCTCGGGACAAATTTTGTAAATATTATATAAGATTTCTATTATTATTAATGTAAAAGTCATATTTTAAGACCACATTGTAACCTCAATTATGTTAAATAATCACGATTGTTATTTAGTATATTTTTTTTAAATATATTCAATAAATCTTGGTACGTAGTATTTTTTATATCATAAGGTGCAGAATGAACGAGCAGCTACCTGAATTAATCGAAATAGCATAGCGAATAGCATTATTTTTTACTATCTACAAGTGTAGATAGAAAAAATAATCGAGAGAATTCGATAGGCAGCTTTCGCGCGGTGCTTTTGGTCGTTAATTTAAAATGAAGGTAATAAAATATTTTGCAAGTTTGTGGTAAGTTGTTAACATTAAGTGGTCTTTATCACAACAAAACAGTTCGTTAAGTTATAAGACAAAGTCTTTCAGCATCGACTACCTCTGCAATAATTGTGATTTAGAGCGGAGTTCGCTAGTGGATGAACTTTAGCAAAGTTTGACGACTACTCATAGATTGAGTGCGATTAAAGAAAGCTTAGCGTTTGCGGGATCAAGCGGCAACAGTTTACATTTCACAACTACATTTTATATTATAAGGGATAGGAAACAGATTGATTTTAAAGTAGATATGTAAAATAATTTTACTTTTTTTATTGACGTGAACTTTGAACTTTACCTTACTAGAAGATAGTGACCATTTTCACATTGCTTATGTGCATAAATCTGATTATGAAATTTAAGATAATCAGTACAATAGATGCTACAAAATATGTAGATAAAAACCTTCCTGTACCCGCAACTGGCAAGTTCCACTTTAGACCTTTCATACGGTTTGTTGGCACCTTCTCTGCACCATCCCAAACAAGAATAGCGTCATATATCCTATGAGTTACCAAATGGTCCTTCGAGTCGGATCGTAAATTAGTTTATTTAACTTTTACTTCTTTATTGTTCATAATTAATTTAAGCTCATCAAGTTAGTAACTTGAGGCAAACGCTTAAAGTTACTAAGGCTGTTAAAATTTCAAGACTATTATTAGGTACACCAGAAATCGCTGTAGCTAGATCCGGCGGAACTTTTAATTGGCGCGCCGCGGGATATTGTTAATAAAATCATTTTTATTTTTCATTATCGGCTATACATTGAGACTTTTAGCAGTTGTAAAGATATTGTTCCCTAAAATATTACTATGTCTAAAGTCTGAGTAAATTCAGTCGAACGATAGTACGTATATAAGAAAGTGGTATTACCATTTGGTCATGATTGCAATTTGTTTTGCAAATCTACGTCAAACATTGGTTCATTGTATGTCTATTCAAACGGCATTAAAGGATGATGACATTAGTTATCATACTCGACCACACTTAATAAACACAATTCCGGACAAACAGAAGACATGCCGAAACATGTCGAACGATAGTCCTAATTTCATTAGACAAACTCGTAAATGCTTAAGTATCGCTAAACGCGAGGGTCTTCGGAAGCATTCGCTGATTTGATTGATCTTCACGGTACATACTCTCTACGTTTTTACAAACCGAGGTCAGGAAATGGAAGGAAAAAGTACAGAACATAATTAATTACTTTATTTGGACATTAATGACCCGGTCAAAGAGGACGGAGCTTTATTAGGGTGTTTTTCGCAGATACTCTTGTGATGTTATGAAGTAACCGTGTGTTAGGGAGGGCATTTACAAAAATTGCATGAAAAAATATAAAAGTTTGTTTTTGTAGTGGCTATAAAATTCTAAAGAGTTAATATTTTATTGTCTGCTACACGAAATATTTTTCAAGGAATAAAAAGACCAGTGGAGTAATATTTTAATATTTCCCTAGCAAGAGGTGTCCTCCAACAATACAAAAAAAAATACTCTTAAAAACGAGTCGTCATTCCGCTGATGGATTCTAAATGAATATTCAGGACGACAAAGGAGAAGGGGTGTCGCGAAAAAGCAGTTTAAATTTTCGCAACGAAAAAAGTCTACGCAATCGCAGAGCCATAAAAACCCATGGCAAATAAATAACCAACGTAGGGGCACGTCTCTATTTAATTATGAATTAAGGCCGAGCTGTAACGAGATCACAATGTAATTAAGATTACCGCGGCGAGGTTTTTCAGAGCGCCCCAACAAGTGAGAGTAAATGGTCGGCAAAACTAACACGGGGAACTTGATTTTCTCTGACAGCGAAAGAGAAATAAGGCAAGCGAAATAAGTCACACGCTTTGCTGGTCGATCCGAGAAATGTTTTTTATAAGAAAATTTACAACATTTATTACTTGCCTTACTCAAAGACATTTTGATTTAGGAAACATTTCGTGATAATTATCTCGAACTAGTTAACCATACACAATCAATAAAAACTGAAAATTTTTGTAAATCAAAATGTAAAAAAAAAAAATCATAATTTTCTTTTACTCAATCAAATATCACAACCTTAAAAGTTCTAATATTAATCTACAAATCTGTATTTAAAACTACACAGTTTACAAAATTAATAACAGAAAGATAATAAAGATAAACCCATATAATTTTCTGGGTGAAACAGAACGTTCAGTGTATATTTAATAAAATATGCAATTGAACATGTGCCATGTTTTGGTAGTGGAAATACATAGTAAGACTAAACACAGGAAATATTTAAATATATATTTAAAATAATTTAAATTGCACGAATCGAATGACCGTTTTCAAAAAAGTTTTGATTATGAATATGTAAGAAATATAGTCAAGTTAAAAGTAAATTGAAAAAAAAAACTCCCTCTCCAAGCCCGCAAGGGACGTCCTTTATGCCACGTTGGGTTTTTACGAAGGCCCTTTTATTTAATAATTGTGTCAGTTTCAAGATTTGCTTGATTAATTTCTTTTTCCGTAATCATTATTAGTTCAAAGTTTGTTTCATTAAAATTAAGACATTGAACAAACTTATTTATAAAATTTTCAAACACGGTGTTTTATTATGTTTACACATAAAAAAAAGCATATTATAACCTTAGTTATAAATTAATTTAAAAATATAAGGTAAATAATATGAAAACGTAAACTGATACTGGAAAATTCAATTTGCATTTCTCAGTAAACCTATTCACGTATGAACTTCTTAATGCGTCGTAGGATCGGAGAAGCTGAATCAAATACTTCCGGCTATATGCATGTAGTATAAATAAAATCTCAATCATAAAAGTTTAATATTTAACATTTGTCGCAGTATGAAACGTGCTCAATTTGATTCCCTTTAGCCATATTTTTCGACATTCTAGTGGTGTTATTGCTAGGACTGCTATTCCTATCATTTATGTAGTTTCCTATGGCGTGGTCGCAATTCTCATAGCAAATACAGTGGCGAGCGGTTTTATTTCCAAGATTAGCTGGACCAGTGGAATATGGTCTTAAAAGTCTTGTAAGTACATAAATGAAAATATTTAGAAATTACCTTTTTGGCGGCCGAATCTTGGTTGTTGTTATCCGCATGGTGTGGAGCGGCGGGCGCCATGACGGTGACGCCACTCTGCGAAAGAAGCTCGTCGGAGCCCCTCTGCGAACAAATAAATACACTGTTAATTCATGACAATTATCTTCTGTATCTCTATATTTACTTTTTATATTTATACTTAGATATTATAGTACTAATGGACTTTAATGATTATTGCCTCTATGCACTTATCCAACTTGGCAGTTTAATGGTATAGCCTTCAAATTAAACATTGGAAACATCGAAAAGTCGTAATTATAACAAAACGAAAAACAAAGCACGTGTCACGCGTCGCGTCACGCGATGGCGTATAGTCCGCGCCTCTGTGTGGATCAATCTCAATTTAAGGCGATGAAATGACAGGCCTCAGCAGTTAAACGCACCGGGTTGAAGTATAAATCACCGGGCGTAATAAGGCAAATGTACAAATAACTGAGGGCATGCTGTGCACGCGAATCTCGCTCTAAGGGAACCTCGGTTGAGGTTCTCTGTGCCTCCACCTGGCGACACTTTGTTATGGACATCCGTCACTTCGTAGACTTAATAAAAGACACATGTCATGAAATACCCATTCTAAACAAAAGGGGAATATGAGGAAGAATTGAAATAATTATTTCTAAGATTTACATACGATCTAAAAAAAATTAAGCAGCTAGATGATAAATATATCTGACAAAATATTAATAAACATGAGAGTTTTTTCCCATCGTTTTTATCAAAAAATTGGGGGAAATTTTCAAATATTCCTCTCCTCGTCCTTCAATTGTAGCTGACTGCCAATTGAAACGTCGACAACTGAAATGTGTATTAGAATTATTCCTTCCATAACAATTTACATAAAAGAATAAAAAGATTACGGTAACAGCGGGATTCCTATTTTACGACATAAACCTTTCATTGCAGAAAAAAGAACCGTTTTCTCTGAAATAAAACCAACATAAGGGCCAATTCCTTGGAGTAATTTCGTAGAGCGCGTGTAATAATTGCTCGAAATTAAATAACATTTTTCACAACAAAGAAACAACGCGGATGAAAATTTTGTACCGAAATGGCAGATTGTGTTAGAAAATAAGGCTTCTTTCGTTTTCACAACAATTTTTCAAGTTAATGAAGAGTGATGTTGGATCTCTTAACAATAGAAAAATTTGGGTATCGGCCAATGTGACATCACAAACTAACTTAGCTCGTCTCAGTCCTTGAATTTAAACTGAAACAAGTTGGGAATTTTTCATAATTGAAAATGTATAATTATTGTTCATCAATCAATCAATTTAATTCACTCAATTTGAATGTTTAATTTATTATTTATTCTCAAACTTGTTTAATAATATTTTAGTAATAAGGTAACTTATTAACAATAAACATTATATAAGCTATGTAACAAATTTAACTTAAGTGTTGTTTCATTGGATGCGAGGCCCTACGTCGCCGTATTTGTCGGTCCAACGCGCACGCCGCGCCGGAGCGATGTCTACTTGTTAGCGTCATATTAGTCATGCCGTCTAATAAAAATAATTTTATATAACTCTTATAAAAATTATTTAGCTTATTGAATTTTTTAAAATGATATAATAATTGTTTGCAGAACCTTAAAAAATACGACGGGGTATGGAAAAATTAATATTAGCTGCTAGATTAAATTATTAATAATTCATACTACAAATACTGGCGCGACCTTCTTTTGTCTGATTAATAACCGAATACGACCCTATAAATCCTTCAACGTCCACAAGAGTAATAATAGAAACATGTAAGTTTGAATAAGACCGGTGCAAAATCAATCCCTTATATTGGCTCTCCGCGATGTGTGTTTGGTTTTGCTCTCGAAAGAAAATTCTGTATTTTCTCGATCAAAACATACTGAAACGTTTCTCCAATATGTCATTTGAATGAATGTGATATAAGGACCCTTCGTATCAGAATATTATCAGAAATAAAATATACATAAAGGTTAGATTTACTTAGATTAGGCGAGCAAACGTTGTTGGCCCTTTTAAAGCTCCGTTCCATTTACAAAAAGATATTCTTTAAAAGGTAAATGTAACAAGAATAACGATTAAGAAATAGTTGACAAATATATTGTAAATAAAAATATTCCGTATAGTATTTTTATTTATTCTCATAACATGTTTTCATAGAAAAATAAATAATAGTTTTTACGGTGTATTTCTTAAGGAGAATAACGGGAAAATCATTGTTGCGAATCGATATGTGTAATCTATTAGTGATATTAAAATGTATTACGAAAAAACTTGGAGATGGGACGCTCAGATTTACCGACATCGCAGAAGGGACGCGCTGATCTGCTGATTGCTTGAATCAATATAACGTTAAATACAAAATCATTTTGTTTTGAACAAATTCAAAGAATTTCTATATATATATGAAATGTTCTATAATAGACATTATAAGACTAAGAAGTTATCTCGCTGTTGAATAAATTATCTTTCTCTTAAATTTTACGCATAGTTTATTGAAAAGTGCAAATAAAACATTATTAAAACACATAATTTATTTATTACTTCAATCGAATTTTAAAAGACAATTAATTTTTTTCGTAAATTTGTACCCGACAATATTTCCGTATCACAAGAATTGTCGTTGATTATTTCAAGATGTTATTCGTAAATAAAATATTAATATATCACTTTGGGTCCCGGATATAGTGGAATAAAACCGTCGGGCCCAGACCTCCCTTGTGATTTTTATGAAGACCATAAACACGGGCGATAACCAACTATCGATGTCGTATGAAATATTTATTGCGCCGCTAACTCCATTCAAGTCGTTAATCGATTCCTGTTCCAATAAACGGCTGAAGTTTGCCAACTTTGCTCATTACGAATTAGGTATGTAGAAATAGCTGGAGCTATTATCTACAGCAAGGATATTACTAATACTAATATTAAGAAATATTTTGTCCGATACCGTTATAGAATATAAGTAGTGGTTTTCATCAATCATGTTTCTTTATAAAATAGAAGATTTAATTAATCCAGAGTTTAAAGCGAGTAAAATGATTTTAAGTAACATTTTACCATCAAACTACCTTACATTGGTAGTGGAAAATCTCAATACTTTATAACTACACTATTGTTTCAGGCTTTTTTTAGTTTATACAACTTGCTCAAATATTTAGGCAATGGACATAACTGACCTCGTGCCCTATATTTGATTTGTACTATCGTGATGATCTAGACAGATTTATTTCAAGATATCATAAGGTATCAGTAAGCTATCATCCTATAATATCTAAATCAGCCAGAAGTCGAATTTAAAATTAATAGGACAGGTAATGTCCATACTTTAATAACGGTAACCAAAAGAATTATAATTAATTTGTACGTTACATTTTAACATCACAACGTGCAATAATTATATTGTAGCCGGTGTAATTTAAAGCTAAATACATAAAAATACAAATAAAAATTACGTAATAACGCAACCCGTCCACTGTTTGTGAGGTAAAATAAAATCGTGGCGAGTGGAAATACGAAGGTTTACGATAGGGATGAAAAATCGCTTCGGCATTTATGACGTTATTGTTACTGAAAGCGAATGTAGCTAATATGGAAAAGAATAAAAGAGTATAATAAGCGGCAAAGCTGAAGGGAGTCTTGTGTATTGTTATTTCACGACCTTATAGTCTGATCTGACTCGAGTCGTCTAAATTATTTAATTTAATAAGCGTGTTAAAGAACACCGTAAATGTTTTTTTATACGACATAATATACTTTTCATTATGAACTGTGTGCTGGCGATGTTTTATATTCATTTTATATGGACTTGCTTCTATTATGCTATCCTAACAAATCTGCAGTAATATTATGCTTGCTTTATTTGTTGGGTATTAGATTTGTTTAAATCTTTTTTGTTTCTTTGCAAAAGCATCGAGTAAACTTTATTATTGTGTTATATTATTTTATTTGGTTTATTCTCAGTTACTTGTATTTCTTAAATGAGAATTAGTAAAAAAATAGTTGAAGAATTTATTTTGCGATTACTAACTACATGGCAATGAATTGAATTTTTCTGTAAGATGTTAGTTTGTATTTAAGACCAGGTGGTATGATATAGTACGGCGCACTTTCTCGTTTGTTTCTTAATATAATCTCGCTTGTGCCGTGCGCCTCTCAGTGAGATGTCGAAATTAACGATCTTGATAATATTTGTTGGCTCAGCGCTGCCTGCGCTCCTGCTCGTAATTAATTGCGTCAATTTGTTCTGCGCTTATAACGGACATTTGTCAAGCGCCCACCCCGCGCCCGATCATTTCCTCACCGACTTCATAATCGATTCTCCTAAGAACAGATTAACGATCGAATACTTCATAAACAGTTTATCACTTGGCTCGAATCAAGAAAAACTATTACTTACATTTAATTGACAAACAATTTAAACTAAAAACTGCAACAAATTGATGAGAGACAATACGAAGTAAAAGTGAACATTTCTCATCACGAGTACGACGCAAACCTCTTAGCCCCTAAACAATATACAGGAGACATTACTCGCTGTCACAAGTCTACTTTATAGGGAAAGTAGGAGCGGAGAGTTTGTGTGAACAAAGTTGCGAAGGCTGGTTACTTTAGTAATGAATAGAGACGTCAGACGTTAACCGCTTCTAAAGAGCAACTCGCATACCATTTTAACTTTACCTCCACGATAACTAAACTATGTTGACCTAACAGTGGGCTCGATACAACAAACTCTTGACTTTCTACTTACAACTTGTATATTTAATGAGTGGCAATTAACCATCCGTGCACCGGGACCGCCTCGGCGCGTGCTATCATTGTGCAACTTGTGAAGATAACAGTATTGTTCCACTTCCAGACTTAATACACCGGCTATTTACGATATTGTTTTAGTTAAACTAATCTCGCTCGTAAGAACTTTAACTATAAAAATAAACATTATGAGACAAAAGAATTCTTGATGTTTATTGTTTGTGTACAACACATTTAGCAAATATTAGCAGACGTACAAATTCGTTTGTACTTAGAGTTATGATATAAGAAAGATTTATGAAATATACAAACCAAAGGACCTGAAAAGGAACA